CATTTGAAATCAGAATGAGACGAGATGGTCAGTGTCCACCTGTTTATTCCACACTGTACTGGAGGTCCTCGTCAGCACAATCAGGAAAGGAAAAGACATACAAATATACAAGGATTTGGATAAAATGAAAGAAAACATTTGCATTTTTGAAGATGATAGGAGCCTCTCTGTAGGAAATTTAAACAATCAACAAATAAATTGCTAGACTTAACGAGTGCTTAGCAAGACTACTAGCACAGACCTCACATTCCCTTCCCCCCTTTAACTTGGCAAAATCACAACCTTTATTTATTTGTTTGTTTGTTTGTTTGTTTATTTTCCAAGGATAAGAACAAGTTTGTTTAACAACTTACAACGGCAATAGAAGTCAGCCAGCTGGGCTGTGTCTGCTCAGGAAACAGTTTACAGAAATGGAAGAAGGGCCCTCGGAACTTCAGAGAAAGAAAGGCAAAGGGGATGTACCAGGGCGGAAGAGGAAGGGGCTGGGAAGGCAGACGTGTGCTTCCGAGAGGGGGCACGCCAACACCATGACCTTCAAAATGATATCATGAAAAGTATTGCATGCAAGTTAGAAAATCTAAATATCTTTGTCTTTCTCCAAAATGACATAAACACCTAAACTCTTCTACCCCATTCCTTATATGTTGTTAACCATTACTTTAGTTCTGTCTTAAAAAGAAAACCTTATAATGAGACATTGATATTGTGTTGTATGATCAGGGATTTTAGATTTACTTACGTATCTTACAATTTCCTTGTTCCACTTTCCTTCTTGTAACTCAGCCCTCCCATCTGGGGTCGTTTTTCTTTTTTCAAAAGTATATATTTAAAATTCTCTTTAGTGAGAGTCTGTTGGTGGTGAGCGCTCAGCTTTGTCTGTCCCTGAAGAACAGTTTAGCTGGGAATAGAATTCAGAGCTGACTCTTGTTTCTTCTCAACACACCCGGTGCAGCATTGCGCCACCTCTGGCTTCCTGGGCAACTGCTGACAAGCCGACCAGCAGTCCAGCTCTTGTTCCTCTACAGGGGATCTCAGATTTCTCTCTGGCTACAGTGAAGGCCAGGTCCGCAGCCTCAGCCAGGAGATCACATTCACACTGGAGAGCAGAGGACCAGGCCAGGGGACAGTGGGAAGATCAGAGGACTTGGACAGACACATCACCTGAGCAGAGCAGCCCTACTGGTGGGTGGGACGGGTTCCCCTGCTTCTTCACCATTTGCAGGAGGACTCAGAGACCAGATTCAGCAAGAGGAGAGAAAAATGAAACTCCTTTGAGACTAAAATGCTAGGGGGCACCCAGATTTGAACTGGGGACCTCTTGATCTGCAGTCAAATGCTCTACCCCTGAGCTATACCCCCTGCCATACCAGTGGGGCCCGATGAGCACCTTTTGCTTGTACAGCCACACCCAGAGCTCCTGCCCCAGATGCCCCTTCCATGTGGCTCGGCTCAGTTGCCAGACCTGCTTTACTGCTAACTCATCCCCCCACTTTGAAGAAGCCACAGGTTGCCTCCTCCCACAGCTCCACAGCCTCTCCACTCTCAGGCCCTGGAGCGGGGCAGTCACCTGGAGAGCAGCCGTGACAGCTGGAAGGACCAACAGTCACATCTGTGTAGTGGGTTTGTGCTGAGCACCTGAGAACAGACTCCAAGTCCCTGTGGCCAGACCCAGCCTGGAGCCCCTCAAAGATGGGACTCCCAATATGCCAAGGTTGTACCAAGGTTGTATGTTCAATCCCCAAGGGTGTATGCAAGAATCAACCAGTGAATGCATTGCTAGTTCAAGAACAAATTGATCTCTCTCTCCCTTCCTGTCTCTATCTGAAGTAGTGGGATTGGTTAACATGAAATATTATGGGTCTTTACTCCAACGTGATGGGTGTCCTAGGAAGAGAAGAGACTCAGGCTGAAGACAGAGGCAGAGCCTGGGTGATGCATCTACGAGCCAAGGAAGGCCCGGGGTCACCAACAAACACCAGAAGCTGGAGGGAGGCCAGGAAGGGGCCTCCTCTAGCTCCTTTGGAGAGAGCCCGGCCCCCCTGACACCTCCATTTCAGACGCTGGCATCCAGGACTGTGAGACACTACATTCCTGTTGTTTATGTCACCTGCGGTAGTTTGTTGCAGAAGCTACAGGACATGCTCGTTAGTGATAATCTGCATCACCTCCTGTTGGAAGAACTGGCTCAGGTTTTGTGTCTGGACTGGACCATGGGTGGTACTGAAGTTGGTCTCATTGGGGTGCCAGGAAACAGACCCTGGAAGGAGGCTTTGGGGATGGATTTGGGCTTGTCCTTGGCCTTCTCGGCTGTGCCCAGTGCCTGACTGGGTCCTGAATCAGAAGAGATGCCATAAAGGGGGGACTAGAGTGCCTTCTCCATTGAAGTGACTTTGTCAGTTCAGCTCCAGGAGGAAAAAGAGACTCTCCGAGGGGGCACCCGGATTTGAACCGGGGACCTCTTGATCTGCAGTCAAATGCTCTACCCCTGAGCTATACCCCCTCTTATTAACAGTGGTGTATAATTAATACACTTTACACTTCCACTCACACACTGGCTGTTGATTCTGACTCAGCAGAGTTGCTAGTCCTGCTCAACTCTACTTGTAACTCTTAGGCCATAATTATTCTTTTTCCAGAACGGCACCCTCTCTTCTGAGCACCAGCTAGAAAGGTCACCGAGGGTTCCATCTGGAGCAGCAAAGTCTGTACCTTGCTTGGTGTATCAGGCGGAAGATGAAGCCGAGAGCCGAGTTGCTCATTTCTGAGCGAGGACTAGACTGTTCTTCACCTGCTTATCAGTTGAGGCTACTTTCAAGTTGTCCACAGTGTGGGGCTGAGGTGAGCTCCTCCACCTCCCCTCCGAATCCCCCAGGCCTGGGGAGTATCTCTGGGGGGCAGTGGCAGCTGTTAGGTGGGCCTGCAGATATGTTGGCTCTGCCTGAGGCAGGGTGAAGAATTCACAGAACCCTGGCTTCAGACACATGGGCCAGGCGCATAGTAGGCAGGGTGTGACACCTCCTTCAAAAAGGTTCCAAATAATCCCGGCATGAGAGTCATCTGCCCTCTGTAATCGCCATGGGCAAGGTCTGCCAGTAGCAGAAAGAACGTTTGATTCTGTTCTGCTATTTCATCCACTGATGTGTCATCCAAGATCATGGTCAATTCCTTCATTACATTCTGAACTCGCAGCCTCTGAACAAATGTAACAGACGGAACTGTTTCCCCCAAACACCTCAGTGTGCTTTCCATTATCTGGCTGCCTTGTTTGATGGGAGTTTTCCGTTTTCTCTCATTGTGAATTTTCATTTTCTCTCAGATGGTAAGAGGGCAACTGTGTCTGGGGGGAATTTCTCTACATCGCTCAGAATAAATGTCGTTTACCATCAGATTTCTTAAATGATGGCCACGTAGGTGTTAATTCCTCCTGGATTAATCTGAATCGCCTAAAAATCCGCCATTGTGAGTAACAAGCGGCAGTGTACCCCTAACCCCTCGGCGTGTCCAGCAGTGTATCAATTCCCCAAGAAGCGCCTTAATGTTGGGATCCCTGAGTTAAACACAGAGGGAAAAATGTTGTCAGTCCACAACATTGCTCCCGTTTTTTATTCCATGACCTACTCTTTCAGAAGGCAGTTCTTCAGCTTGTCCCAGAAAACCTTTGTCTGCCTCGTGGACTGTCCATCTTTAACATGATTCCTACAGAAACATAAAGGTTTCCTTCCTTAGGGATCTTCAGGGCCCAAGTAAATGTTCTGTCTTTGTAGCACAACCTGTGGTCAGCTACCCGAGTCAGTCCGCTGGGATTAAGGGCGCCCAATGAATGAATGTCGGCGTCTAAACCGCAAGCAGCGGTGCCTCCTCTGGGTGGTGTGTTTCTGCAGGTGCAAGCCTCTGGCCGAGTCGATGGTGCCTTTGTGCAAAGGAAATGACACTCTGCTGTGGCCTGTGCCACGGTGTATGGGCCAGATGTCCTGTAACCTCAGGACAGCTCTGCCTTTGCCTGGATACATGGTAAAAACGCAGACCAGGCGGACCCTCCCCAGAGGTAGTGAGTGACAGCTTTCCCAGGTGATTTCGTGCAAACTGAAGTTTGCAGAACATTTGATGTAGCGAGTAGAGAGGCTGGAGGGGGGAAACTATTTCTGTAACAGTGACTGGGAGTTACATGAAAAAATTAGAGCACTTACATTGTCAGAATTATGGGCAGCTTTTACTTGTCTTAAATTTGCTTCATTTTATGTATCTGTAATTTTTACTTTTTAAAGGTTTTAGTTATTTTTAGGTTGGAAGGGAGGGAGAAAGTGGGAAGCATCAATGTGTGGTTGCCTCTCATGTGCCCCCTACTGGGGACCTGGCCTGCAACCCAGGCATGTGCCCTGACTAGAAAACGAACCAGTGACCCTTTGATTCACAGGCTGGCACTGAATCCACTGAGCCACACCAGCCAGGGCTGTGTATATCTGTAATTTAAAAAGATTTTACTTATTTTAAAAGAGGGCAAGGGTAGGAGAGAAACACTGATGCCAATTGGTTGCCTCTTGTACATGCCTCAACAGGGGTACCGAACCCCTTACCCAGGCATGTGCCCTGGCCGGGAATCAAACCCCTGACCTGAAGGGATGATGCTTTGTGGGATGATGCCCAACCAGCTGAGCCACACCAGTCAGGGCTGTAAACCCCTGCCTCTATGTCTCCATCTCTGAAGCGTCCCCGTCCCTGTCCCCTCTCCATCCATTTCCAGCTGACTCTGCATTGCTGCCTCGGTCTTTGTCCCCCTCCAACTCTTTCAACTCGCCTCTGTCTGTATGCTACCCTTGAGCCCCCAAGAGAGTGAAGGGGTCCGTTTCCCGCGGTGGCTGCTAACCTGGCAGCGGGAGGGGCGCCGGTGCAGGTACTCACAACGCGTGCGGCGTTCGCTCCTCCGGGCCGCGGGGGGCGCTGTGGTGGACGGGGCGTGGCCTGGCCGCGATTCCCAGCGTGCACTGGGGCGGGGCCTGCGCGTGGAGGCGGAGCGGGAGGCGGTGGCTGGTGGCCGCCGTGTTGGTTTTGGGTGGTGGTTTTGTTGCTCGGCCGTGGGGGCCGGGCGGAATCACGAAGGGCCATGGCTGCGCCGGATTCGGTAAGAGGGATGTCTTGAGGGGACGCCCAGGAGCAGGGCGGGCCTTCGGTGTCCAGTTTGGCGGGCCGGCGGCGGGCACGTGGGGCGCCGTCTGGGGTCCCCCTAGACTTGGGTTGTGGGGTCCGACTCTGGACGGAGCTGGTGATCGCCGCTCGTGGCGGTGGTCCGTGGCCAAACATCTGAACGAAGCCGAGCGTGGACTTGGCCGAACCTGGGCCGGGGGCTCCCGGGCGCGCAGCGGGCGGACAAGGAAAAGGACGGAAGGAAGAGTGGGGCCGGCAACGTGTGTTACACAGTTCAGCCAGCTTTCGTTGTTGAATTCAGAGCTAGTGTTTGGAAAGATTTAAGATTCTGCCCGGTTGAAGCGATGCTTGGCAGCGGCTTAAATGCCAGCATTCAGCCGCTAACGTGTCAGAGTTTGTGTTGAGTGTCCGAAGGAAGGATGGCGAGGGTACGTTGGAAGGAGTAGAAGTGGACATAAAAACTGGAGTACATATTATTTCATTAGCATTTTGTTGAAACCGTGGTTTAGAGGGAGTGGCCATTATTTGTATGATGTTATCCTGTATAAACTTCATGTTGAGCGTTTAGGCGCAGTCCTAAACGAATTCATGAGGTCGTTGATTTTAAACTACTGTTCATCTCAACAAAAGACATAATTCCTTGGATTAAGTATAGAAAATATAATGCAGTACATTAATAGATGAAATGATAGATAAATGGGAGCTATACCGCTTTTTCCATTTGGTGGGGGAGGAACACATTGAGGTAATCACTACTGTGTACCATTAATAAGTTGCATTTTATATATATTAAAAGTCCAAACATAAACAAGTGAAACTTCTTTTGGAAGAAAATGTAGAATAACCTCAGTGTAGAAAAAGATTTCATAAAACACAGAAATCAAAGTAACTTAAGAAAAGGTTGATATATTCACATCAAAATTACAAAAATGATGTCTAGTATAAAACAGCATAAATAAAGTTAAAAATTTAGACACACTCGGAAAAAGCATTTGCAATCTAATGTAGTTAACACTCAATGTACAAATTATATAAAGAAACCCTAGAAATGAAGACAGGTGACCTAGTAAAAATACATTCAGAGGATATGAACAGGCAATTCACAGAGCTGAAAACGGTGAGTGGACAATGGTTAAAAATTGTGACATTCAGACAATGGAACCCTATAGAAAATGACAATAAATCTGTTCTCTATCAAAAAGGGCAGATCTCAAAATATTGAATGGAAAATCCAAGTTGTAATATGATTATTTTTCTATAATAGACAAAGCCCTAGTATTATTTATAGATATGTATGCATATTAAAAATGAAAAGCATGGACTGAAGAGTTACCACATTCATTATACTCCTCTGTCCTCCGTAGGGAAGAAGCTAGGACTTGAGGGTGAGAACAAGATGGAAGAGGGGACCAAGAGGACTTGAACTTCATGTGTCACATTCTGATTTATTAAAAGGAAATTTGATGAAAAAATGTTAAATTTATAAAATCCATGGTAAATACAAGGATGTTTGTTATAATGTTCTGTTATTTTTCTGGATTTTTAAACTTCTGAAAATTGAAGTCATAAACAATGAAGGCTTTTTGAACATTTTTGAAAGACATTTGTTTAAAAGTAAGGAATTGGCCCTGGCTGGTGTGGCTCAGTGGACTGAGCACCAGATTACAAAGCAAAGGGTTCCCAGTTCAAATTCCCAGTCAGGTCACGTGCCTGGGTTGCAGGGCAGGTCCCCAGATGGGGGTGTGTGAAGAAAGGCAAGTACACACTAATGTTTCCTTCTCCCTCTCTTCCCCTCTCTCTAAAAATAAATGAATAAAGTCTTTTTTAAAGGTTGTAAAAAAATAATAAACAAAAGTAAGGGATTGCCCTGGCTGTTGTGGATTAGCCTGCAGACTGAAGGGTCACTTTTTCTATTCGCAGTCAGAGCATAGCCAGGTCCCCAGTTTGGGGCTTGAGAGAGTCACTTGATTGATGTTTCTCTCACACATCATGTTTTCTTTCCTGTCTTTCTCCCTCCCTTCCCCTCTCTCTAAAAATAAATTTAAAAAATTTTTTAAATTATTTATTTATTTATCTTTAGAGGGGAAGGGAAGGAGAGAGGGAAAGAAATATCCATGTATGGTTGCCTCTCAGGTGTCCTCCACTGAGAACTGGCCCACAACCCAGGCATGTGTCCTGACTGGGAATCAAACCGCAATCCTCTGGTTCACAGGCCTGCGCTCAATCCACTGAGCTACACCAGCCAGGGCCTAAAAAAAATTTTTTTAATAAGGAATTTACAGAGGAGGATAATTATATTTAACAGAGATAAAGACAGGCATTTGATTCTGCTACAATACATCATGCAATTCTAAAAATCACAATGCCAGGCAAAACCATGCAATAAAAACCGTAGCTTATGGGAGAAATGGTGTAGGACACACAACACTCAAAACACTTGTCAGGGCACATGCAGCAATCTACCAGTGGACGCACGAATGGGTGCAGTGACAAACTGATGTTTTTCTGTCTCTAAAATCAATAATATAGAAAAAAGTTTGTCAGCTACATGTTAAAAAGAAATGATAGGAGCCTTGGCCAGGTAGTGTTGGCATATGTAAGAATTAACCAACAAATGCATCCATAAGTGGAACAACAAATCGATATTTCTCTCTCTCCTCCCCCTTTTCCTTCTCTAAAATAAATTTACTTTTTTTTCTAAAGACCAAAAAATAAAGGATGGGAACTTAATAGAACAGCTGTTTTATGCATGTTAAGTGATTGAGAAATAATGTCTTTAGACCTACCTGAAATTTGCTGTGAAAGTGGGTGTAAGAAGGAGGGGGCTTGTGAGTTATGGTGAAGTCGTGGAAGGAAGAGTATCTGAAATCAGCAGGTTACAACACCAGGTGTGGGAAGGTGGGGCTCATCATACAGGGTCAGACAGGCACTGCAAGGTGTTCACGTGTGCATTTTGGATATTCCTACTCAGTTCTCACAGTAGCAACTAAAACTCTAAAATTGCTAGGAATGAACCAATCAATCATTCTATAATATCTATATGAAGAAAACTATAAACTTTATTAAAGTGCATGAAATATGTAGGTAAATCAAAGACATAGCAGGTTTCTGGGAGGGAAGAGCCCATGTTTTAGAGATCCAGTTCTCCCCAAATTAATCCATATACTCAGTGTATTCCTATCAAGGTCCCAATAGAATCTGTGTTAAGTCTGGCAAACTATTTCTTCTGTTTATGTAGAAGAGAAAATGGACAAGAGAAGTCAAGACAACTTTCTGTAAAAAATGATGGAGGTGGTGGTAGATGGCCATGCCCTTTTAAATAGCAAAATATTTGCTAAAACTAAGAAACGGTGCAGTAATGGAGCAAGAATAGGCAGATTTGCCAGTGGAACAAAAATGTACCCAAATATAAATGGAAAACTAGGTTATAAAAAATGATCCCAAATCAATGGTAAAAGAACAGACTAGTCAGTATATTTTATGTCTGTCGAATAATCATTTTGGAAAAAGAATTGTGTCCCTTTTTGTTATGAGAAATAAGTTTCATATGAGAAAAGTTCTTGTTCTGATAAAGCTATAAAAATGTTATGTAGAATTCAGAATATCGTTTATAATTCTAGAATAGACCAAGGCTTCCAAATCCGGACACTAAATCTTGAAGCTGCACAGGAGGTACTAACAAGTATGATAATATACGAAAAAAGCAGTGTACTTTGAGAAAAGATGGAAAACATTATTTTACTGGAGAATTATGATTGTACCCCACCAAAAATTTAGTGCTGTTGGGATTGACAAACACATGTGCTACATTAATTGTGTACAAAGCAAGTTTACAAAAATCACTGCTTTTTCAATCCTAGAAGTGATTGAGGGACGGATGTGGTTCCCTCTGCAGTTGTTGGAAAAATCACAGAATGCCAGTAATGAAGTTAGTAAAACAGATTCAGTACATTTATGAGGAAAATTCTTAAGTTTATTAAAGACTATCAAGCAAGGCCAAATGAAGGGAGTGGTAGAACATGTTCCTAGATGAGATCAATCTTTCCTAAATGCATATATAATTTAGTGCAATTCAAACAGTACCAATATGCTTTTTAAAAGACATTATTTTGGAGTTAATAAGGAAGAATAAATATTCCAGGAGCTCACAACAGTAGCTTGGTAAAGAAAGCGGGAGGGAGGATTCGCCCCCCAGGATTACGGCATTGCATAGGTATTGGAATCAGGTACGTGTGATGATTTAACAGAATCTGTAGATTCACATACATGGAAATCAAGTGCAGTTGACCCTTGAACAGCACAGGTTTAAACCCCATAGTCCACTTCTACTCATATATTTTATTCAGTAAATACACAATTGGCTTTCTGTATCCCTGGGTTTTACATCTATGGATTCAATTAACTGCAGTGAAAAGCAGTATTTTCGATCTTCAGTTGGGCATCTGCAGGTGGAGGCGGCCGGCTTATGCCTTGTTCTGCGCCATTTTATATAAAGGATTTGAGCGTGTGCGGATTTCGGTATCCTTGAGGGGTCTTGGGACCAACCCCTCATGGATACTGAGGGATGACTGAAGTTTTGGGGGAGTCAAAAGTTACGCATAGTTTTTCCGCTGCTTTGGGGCTGGGTGTTTCAAGGTGAACTGTACATGCAGAGGCTGAAGGCTGGTATTTCAGTCCGCAGAGAGAGTGGTGGATTTACTAGTAGTGCCGTGTGATCGGCTCTCCATGTGGATGTCAATAAAGGTGCCAATCGCATCTATACAACTAAACTGCCAATCTAAGTGTTAAAAAATTAGAACGTTTGTATAAACTTTTGATGGGCAGGAAAGAAAAAGCTGGAAACACTATGGAATAGACAGATTTTGAACTAAATGAAAGGGTCAGAATAGCAGAGGATGAGATCAAGTTACAATTGACACACTGGAGAAAGCATCTGCTACTCAGAGTTATTAACCCTAAGACTATGAGAGCAAAGGGTATGGACAGGTATGCACCAAGATATGTAGGACCCCCTCCCCCAAAGAAGTATGAAAAGGATGATGAGCCAACAGATTAATGCATAGTAAAACAATGAAATACAAATTTTTTTACCCATGACATTGGCAAAAACATACTAAGTCTTTAGGACATTCCCGTGCTGGCAGGGGTACAATGACGTGTTTCATCCTATTAGCAAAGGTGAACGTGCTGGATCCTTTTCGGAACGTGGAAGGGGCTGTGGTCAACACCAGCACCACCTACCTGGGGCAGAGGAGGAGCCGCTCCCCAGGGCAAAGCTGCCACACAGGCGAAAAGCGGCGTCCACTCCCAGAGTCTTCTAAATGATGAGAAGGAGCTGGAGTCACTTTGACGCAGTCATGACTGTGTGTGCGTTATGCATTTCCTTTCAGCTCCCTCTGACCTTTGAGGATGTTGCCATTTACTTCTCGGAGCAAGAATGGCAGAGACTAGAGGCCTGGCAGAAGGAGCTTTACAAGCATGTGATGAGAGCCATTTATGAGATCCTGGCTTCCCTAGGTAAGCAGTGGTCAGCGTGGTGGGTAAGTCTGCACCTGGGTCCTGGAAAAGGGCTCAGTCACTGGATGTTCCTACCTGTCAGGTAGCCAGAATTCTCAGAAATTAACTCCACGAGGCACTTTCACCCCGAATTCTTCTGTTGATACTTCCATCAGCACTGCTACTCCTTACGCAAGGGTGGACATTGTTATGTGACAATACTGGAGACAGCATGGAATGTGAGGTGGTTAGGGGTGACCGGAGAAGTGCGTCCCAGGGCACATGGTCACTGCACGCTGTCAGGTTCCAGGACTGTCCGCTCGGGCGCATGCCTGGTAGCTCATACCCAGGAGGTGCCTGCATCCTCCAGCCTCGGGTGTCTGAGTCTCTCAGCTTTTCGGGCCATGTCCCTGTGCCTCCAAAGAGCTCGCGGTCCTTTCCCTGCAGGCAGATCTTGGCACTGCTGTCCCCTGGGCTGTCTGTGCCCTGTTGTGGGAGTGGGTGTTCTTTTTAGTCTTGCTGCTGACAGGGTCTTTTGTGTTTCTTTTTATTATCAATCTAAAAAAAACAGGCCTTTCAGAAAAGCATCAGATGATACCACTCTCTTGCTGAATGAATGCTTACCCCCTCACTCAGTTCGTTCCCCAAAGGCAACCACGTTTAACCATTTCTATTCTAGTTTTCACTGCTTTTGTCTCCGGTCCACGTTAACTGTCATGCTTACACTTCTCTCTCTTGATTTTTCACATTTAAGCTTCATTAACGAACTCATTACTATGCGAAGTGGGGCATTATGTCACTTAGGCTGCCATTCTTCTGTCTGTTTTTTCCCTTTCTCCCCAGATTCTGACCATTTTTTTCATGCCTTTATAACTTGAACGATGAACTTCTAGATTATGGGCCTTCAACTTGACATCACATCACCTGGCTCCTTCAGTGTGTGAAGATAGGGAAGCTAGTTCTCCTGTACCTCCTTCCCCCTCTCCTGCCAGTTCCCGACTGCCATACTGTTTCCTCTACATGGCAAGGTTTCTGACATTTATATTTTGTTTCGTTAGCATAATTTTTCCAGGTTCTATCTGTAGAGTGTTCCTGAAACACATCATCTAAGACATTACATTACTGTATTTTCATTATTACTGAAGAACCAGTGGTTGAGTTGACAGAGCAGTAAATGTCATCTCATGTCATCAACCATGTGCCCCTCAAATAGAATGCCCCAAGCATCAAGATCAAGTGTGTGCGCAGTGGCGCGCCCTCGTGGTTGCGTCTGCGCTTCCTCAGTGGGTCGTCGTGCTGAGTGTCTTCTTTTACCTTCTTCTGAGAAATGTCTATTCAGATACTTTGCCCACTTTTACGTTGGGCTCTTTGTCTTTTTACTGTCGAATTAGATGTGTTCTCTTCTTGTTTTGCATACTGGGCCCTTATCAGATACATGATTCGCGCCTATTTTTTCCATTCTGTGGGTTTCCTGGTGTCCTTAGAAGCACAGAAGCTTTCGATTTCCATGAAGTCGAATTTATTTGTTCTTTTATTGCTTGAGCTTGTGATGCTGTATCAAAGAAACAGATGCCTAATCCCGAGTCACAGAGCCACTCCCCTGTTTCCTTCTAGGAGTTTTCTAGTTTAAGCCCTTACATTGAGGCCTTTGACCTCTTTTGAGATAGTCGTTTTATAGGGTGGGAGGTGGGAACCCACTTTTGCATATTGTTATCCGATTGGCCCAACCCTGTTTGTTCAAAAAGCTATTTTTGCCCTATTGGATTCTCCTGGCAGCCTTTTGGAAGATCAGTTGCCCATAAATGTCCATTTATTTCTAGATTCTGAATTCTCTATTTTCTCAATCTGTGTGTCTGTTTTTGTGTCACGACCACACTGTTTTGATTCCTGTTGCTTTTAGGATCAGTTTGTCAATTTCTACCCTCCCCCTAGCCCCCCCATTCCCACCAAAAAAAAGTAGATTGGATTTGGGGAATATTGTCGTCTTAACAACCAGCTCTTCAATTTATGAACATGGGTATCTTTCCATTTATTTAGGATTTAATTTTTTTTCAACAATATTTTACTTGTACAGGTCTTGCATTTTTTATTAAATTTATTTCCAAGGATTTTACTCTTTCTGATGTTATGTAAATGAATATTGTTTTGTTTATATTTGGAAAAATACTTTTATTTATTTAAAACTATTTTTTTAAGATTTTATTTATTTTTAAAGAGAATGGAAGGAAGGGAACTTTAGGAAAGAGAGAGAGAACAGCAATGCGTGGTTGCATCTCACAAGCCTGGCCCGCAACCCAGGCAGGCGCCCTGAGTGGGAACTGAACCGGCAACCCTTTGGTTCTCAGGCCAGTGCTCAATCCACAGAGCCACACCAGCCAGGGCTATAATCTGGTTTTTCACACCTTTTCTCATACACTGTCCTGAGTTAATTTTAAGAAATTGAAAAACTGCTCAGTATGCCTTAAATGTCTCACTCGAGGAAACCAAGTTCCCATTTGGCTTCTCTGTGCAGATGGCGGACTTCCCAAACCAGAACTGATATCCCGGATTGAACAGGGGACAGAGCTCTTCAGGAAGTTAGGAGAACCACAGAAATCAGGAACCATAACTTGCAACCCTGCTGATCTGCATTTTGGCGCAGTTGTTGAGGGGCAGCAGTTCTGGGGTAAGTAGGAAGAAGTCAGCCCTGTCCTTAACTGAGATTCAGGTTTCTCAGTTCTCATTCTCCGAGCTGGTCTCCTCCTTCGGCTGGGCTGAGGCTTGCTGTCTGCTGTGTTCTAGAGGAAGGCAGTTGTGGCTAGCGGTTAGGGGCGTGGGTTCTGGAAGGAGAGTGTGATGAGAGAGGAACGAGACGAGGCCTTGCTGCCCGGCTTGGGGACCGCTCGTGGGTCCCACAGAGTCTCAGGTCAGTCAGGGCCGCCCAGGAACACCACTGCCGTCCCTCCTAGACTCCGGGGTGCCTGCGCATCACAGCGGGGTGAGCCTGACGGTCCCGGGGCCTGACCGTGGGGAATGTTCACAGAGCGGGTGCAGCACGCCAGGCCCGCGCTGAGCACTCTGCACACGCGAACCCCTGTAATTGGCCCACAGTCTCACCGCCCCGTTTCTGCAGACGGACCTGAAGCCCAGAGCGATTAGCTTGACGGGCGCTGCCATGGAGATGTGGCTTCGAGCCCAGGCAGTCGGCTCCCGAGCTCCGGCCCTCTGCCCGTGGCCGGTCTTCCCCTCCTTTTGGTATTATTCTAAGGAAGTGTGTTCGGCTGAGTTTCAGCAGACCCGCCCCAAATTGCTGGTCACGGGAGAGTGCAGCCCGGTGGAAACGGGTCCGCAGGCCAGCACAGGTCCCTGGTACGGGCCCCCTTACAGGTGCCATAGGCAGTTAGTCATGTCGTAGACAGGAATTCCGACGGATTTTTGGTTTCAGGATCAGGAAGCCAGCAGGCCAGGAGTCCCAGAGAACCCGAACGCCACTTGCAGGTGCAGCCTCTTGAGAGCCCCCGTTGCTCTGAACCCTTATCGGGAAGAAGCAAAGGCATTTCCTTCAGACCCGACCAAGGTGTTGCCCTCGTGAAGCCAGACAGACGCAATCCACGGGCTCTGCTCCCAGCAGTCCACCACTCCAGGGAGCTCCCACAAAGAGATGGAATCTTGAACCCCACAGCTCGGGGTCCCCCAGACCCCCAGGAAGCGCCCTCCAGGGAGGGCACCCCGCCCCCCCAGCCTGTCTGCAGGGAAAGCTTTTGGAAGAAGAACCCCTTAGAGAAGCACCACAGAAGCCGCTCAAGGGACCAGCTGTGTGGGGCCTGGGAGAAGCCGGGCAGACCAGCTGATCCACAGCATCCGTGTAGCACCCCTCGGGGACAGAGGCGCTCCAGATGTCACGAATGTGGAAGGAGCTTCCGCCTGAAGCAGGATTTGCTGGGACATCTGCCCGCACACGCGGGGAGGAGCCCACTGCTGAGTCCTGCCCAGTTCTCCAGGTGCGACAAGTGCTTCCTCCTGAACAACAGCACGCAGGGCCCCCAGGGCCAGGACAGCAGGGCAGAGCCAGGCTCCCACAGAGAGGGCGCTGGGGCCTTCGAGCCCAGCAGTGATCACTCTGGAGAGGGGCCAGGCCCCTGTCCGGCTCGTGAGGAGCACTGCCACCTGACGGAGGGCATGGAGGTCGTCCTGCAGCACTGCCCCTCCAGGGAGAAGCCACTCTCTTGCACAGAATGCGACAAGGGATCCTCTGCCAGGGCCGCGCTTGCCAGCCATGTCCGGGTGCACACAGGAGGAAAGCCCTTCCCGTGCTTGGAGAGTGACAAGAGCTTCCGCCTGAGTGGCCTGCTGAAGGCCCACCAGCGTGGGCACAGTGGGGAGACACCCTTCTCCTGCGGGAAGTGTGGCAAGGGCTTCAGCAAGCAGTGTGAGCTCGCCGAGCACACCCAGGTGCACAGCGGGGAGAAGCCCTTCTGGTGTGGCGAGTGTGGCCGGGACTTCTGCCAGAGGAGACAGTTGGTGAGGCACCAGCGGCTGCACAGCGACGCGAAGCCCTTCCAGTGCCCGGAGTGCGAGCGGAGCTTCCGTCTGAAGAGCTTGCTGAAAGTCCACCGGCTGCAACACAGCGGGGAGAGGCCGTTCTCCTGTGCGGAGTGTGGCAAGGGCTTCACCCACCAGTGCAAGCTCCGGGAGCACCTGCGTGTCCACAGCGGGGAGAGGCCCTTCCAGTGCCCCCAGTGCGACAAGAGCTTCCGCCTGAAGGGCATCCTGAAGGCCCACCAGCGCACCCACAGCGCGGAGAGGCCGTTCCCCTGTGCGGAGTGTGGCAAGGGCTTCACCAGGCAGTCCAAGCTCGTGGAGCACATGCGGACACACACGGGGGAGAAGCCCTTTCAGTGTCCCAAGTGCGACAAGAGTTTCCGCTTGAAGGCACAGCTGCTCAGCCACCAAGGCCTGCACACAGGGGAGAGACCTTTCCACTGCCCCGAGTGTGACAAAAACTTCCGGGAAAGGGGACACATGCTGAGGCACCAGCGCATACACAGGCCCGAGAGGCCCTTTGCCTGTGGCTACTGCGGGAAGGGCTTCATCTATAAGTCGAGGTTGGCTGAGCACGTCCGGGTGCACACAGGATCCTACCGGGCCCCGAGTGGCCCGGACATTCAGAGGCGGGTCAGCCAGCTGTTCGCCATGATGGAGGCCGACTGGAGCTGAGATGCTGCAGGTCCGAAGCCACCAGTGGGTGGCGAGAGCCTGGGGGTCGCCATGGCCCAGCCCCTGCTGCACAGGTTTTAAGCAACGGGGCCCTGTTCTGAGCCAGAATGGAACATGTTGGCCCCGTGAGAAACCACAAAGGGTTTCCCTTTTTAAATCATCACAGTTACATTTGCTGCCTGTGGATAAAAGGACCTGTTTGTTCTTCCTGCCGCCTTAACTGGTAATTTCCCCCTAAATGCTTAGCTAGCTCTGAAATCTGGAGCTCGAATTTAAACCAGAAAACCATCCAGCGGCGGCTGCTACCTGTCAACTCCCCTTCTCTCTTTTCACGGTACGATCCCAAACTGGGGGTTAAGTCCAGTGAATTTGGTTGCAGGCCTAATAGGGCATTAGATTTGGGGTAGACTGATTTATTTGGAAATGGATGATAATAGAAGGAGTTCTCCGAAGCACAGTATATGTGAGTGCTGAAGTTTCCACAGCAGATTCCATCGTGACCATGACTCTTCCCCCATGGAAGAGCTGCTGATTTCAGCAAAATGTTGGCTACTCTGAGTTGCAGACACACAAAACTGAAGGTGCCGAGATGTGTGGGACTAGAATTCAGAGAAGAGTTTGGGAGAGGAGGTGCTGATTCGGGAGTTCCGGAGCAGAGACGCTCCTTGAAGTGGAGTGAGTGGACGAGTTTACATCCGTGGACCGAGCGGCTTAGCAGGCAGCAAAGCCAAGTCCAGGTGAAACAGCCAGGAAGAACAGCCTCGTGTGGGGCGTTTTCAAGCAAATGTTGTAAGCATACACGATACAAGTGGAAATCCAGGAAAATGCTGCATTTGGTAGGTGAGGGTTCTGTGAGCACAGAATGTTTATGCTATAGGGAGAGGGCTGTATTTCACACACAATTCCTGCCTTTCAGAGAGTTCACGTTTCATGTCATAGAGTGGCTGACCTGAAATTCTAAGGGATGGCAGAAAATGAGACTCAGGAAAGTGTAATAGACATTACTATGAAAACTATATCAAAGATGATTTTCTGTGGAACACTAGCTTCAAATGTTATATATGTAATATCCACTGTTGCCCAGGGGATTCAGCGCTGGCCTGTGAACCAAACTTTTCACCGAAAAATGGAGGTCGCTGGTTCAAGTCTCAGTTGGGGCATATGCCTGACTTGCAGGCCAGGTCCCCAGTAGGGGGCGTGTGAGAGGCAACCACCCATTGATGTTTCTCTCCCTCTCTGTCTCCCTCCTTTCCCCTTTCTTCTGAAAATAAAATCTTAAAAGGTTCTTTAAAGGGTATTCAGAAAAATGAGAGAAAGCACTGTTATTATAAATAATAACAATATTATGAAAAGGGAAATATCTAGAGATACAAGTTCTAGGAAGATAAAAGAAAAAGTAATTGCTAAAATGAAACACCTTATACTGGGATTAAAGAAATCTCCCAGGATACAGAACCCAAGGTCCAGCGGGTAGAAGGTAAGGAAGGCAGTGGGAGAAAATGAGTTGTACAAATACCAGCCTTTTGCCCATTTTTCTGTAGGATTTTGGTCCTTTTATTTCTTTCAGTTGGTAAAAGTTATATATTAATGGTAAGTGCATATATGCTGTAAACGTAGGAGGAAGAGAGTTGGGAGAAACGGCAAGCAAATGGAGGAGGAAAAGTACACCAAAAAGTTCCTTTAGAAATTTGGAACTATAGGGGCAGAAAGATTTTTTCCCACTCTAGTGTGACATGTGAGGGTGTAGGTGCAGCAGTCACAGGACAAGAAGCTGCTCCCAAAAGGAGAAAAGAAAGGAATTACAGTCCATTCCCCAAACAGTACACGTTCCAGTTGACCAGGGGCTGCCTTCATCGGGAGCGGTGGGAGAGTCAGGTATCGACGCCTCAATAACAAATTTTACTAACTAACCTTCCCCCACCATTAGTTTACCTTTCTGTTTGCCTCCTTTACTGCCCATCCCACCCCTCCCAGTTCCTCATAGTTGCTAGGGGAGTTGCCTTGAGGCTGATGTAGCCAAAACTTGCCCGAAACAGTGAACACCCACCATCCTAAGCAGGTGGCTGGCGGGAGGTGGTTGAGTAGTGAACTGGCATATACACACACAATTTCGAGTTGAGAACGGACAGTCTGGAGTAGCAAACATTGAGGTGGGAGAATACAGTATTACGCATGACCCGAATCCCTGACTTACATGGCGATCAATTTTAGATTCAACCTTGTGTCAACCAGAAAAGGAAGAGTCAGCCCGGTTAGTGTGTCCTAGCTGCGTTAATAACAGTTTTCAGAGCTCCAGAGAGCCCGGGAAGACTTGGGAGGTTGTTTGGTGCTCCTGCAGGCAGGTGGCGCTGTAGAAGCCAATTCCCCGCTCAGGGAAGGGAAGCACCTGTTCAAACTGACCTACAAACATAACCTAATCAGAATAGGGTGTTCCCTACTCTGCCCTTCAGTAGGGTGTCAGCCTTCTCGAGCTTGGGTTTCCTTACCTGTAACAATACAGCAGTACCTACGGCTTATTTGTCCCCCACTGGTGCCAGACGTCATATTCATAAGGATAATCACAGCCCTGGCTGGGTAGGTCAGCTGGTGGAGTGTCGTACCCACATGCCAGCGTTTCCAGTTCCATCCCTGGTCTGGGCACATACAAGTATCAGCCAATGAGTGCATGGGTGGGTGGAACAGCAGATCAGTGTTTCTCTCTCTCTGTCTAAAATCAATCAATAAAAAATGAGAATAATTATGACTTAAAGAAAACCCCTAATCATGTTAAAACGCAGCCCTGGGGACAAGCCCGGGGCCGGTTCTATGACTTAATAATCTATTCTCATAACCAGTTGGAGATCTTGGAGACAGTCACAAAAATATTCGTGCTCTCCCTTCCTACCCTCAGCACAGTGGCCTCCCAGCCTGCTTGTACCCATAACCAAATCAGATGAGATTTAGGGATAAAGAAGAAACAAAGAGCTTTAGAACTAGAAAAAAAATAATGTTTTGCTATTGAATAAACTGCTGCTATGCAGTAAATGCTTCTGAAAAGTGCACATTACTTGAATTTCCCAAGGAGTACAATATCGATTTCATAGAGAGGTTTCCTCCTACACCTTGCTTCAGCAAAGTGTCTTAGTGAACCCGTTGCACTTGTCCCACATCTGGGTAAATGGTGCTCTTGTTCCTCTCAGTTTAGGAAGGATTGATAGGAAACTGCCATGGATGACAAAAAAATTGTGGTTGGACTCGATCTTTTTGACCTGTTCTTTAAAATTATATTGAACAGTTCCATATTCTACATTCATAGCATTCTAACAAATCACTTAATGTATACTGTGGCATTAAGTTATACCACAGTATAACTTAAATGTCTTTCTGCCCTACAGAAATGAGGGGAAATGACAGGTTCACGCAGCTCAATAAGAATGTATTAAATTAAAATTTTCTAATTGCTAAAGGTTGTGAGAGCCCGGCTTTCTGTCTTCCTCACTTGATAATCTGTATACATAGAAAGATGCTCCTGGACTCTCGAGGGTCCGCTCGCCCCATTCTTCTATAACTCTGCAGGCATACTGACCCTAGGCATTAAAGAAATATCAAGCCCTAATACATATCACAGCCTTGACATTCAAAAATCATTAGCTTAACCTAGTTTTCTTCTCCTAAGTTGTCAGGAGGGAAAAACCTCAAGGTTATATTTAGGCTTTTGTAAACCCCTAGGCTTGCCCATCTGATATTTCAGTTTTGCAGAAAATAACGAGAGAAATAAATAACATGAGGCAAAGTTTAGACACGCATCTGATGACATATTCACAGATGAAACCACGGAGAGAAGCTTCTCTGAATCCCAATTCTGGATTCCCTTAATTGCATGCTCATCCCCTCTCCAAGCCCAGTATATGTTGTAACCTAGGAAAGAAATGCTTTTACTTGCTTAAGGAGAAAAAAAGAAAACTAGAAGCCCACGAGAAGACTATCTCGTTCTCTTCTTATCAACAGACTGGTTCGGATCCCTCTGCCAAAGCGATCCCTGCCTCTAGGAATCCCAGTGGGCCCAGCTAACAGCCCCTCTTTCCACCTCTCTTCTGAGGACACGTGTTCTTCCTGCCAAGCCCAGAGGCCTTCCCCAGCTCCGCCCTGTGCCTATTTCTGGGCCCCACCCACCTCGCCGCCGCCCAATCACATCAAGGACCCCGCCTCCACGGCACTAGCCTTCCGCCTTTGTTCTCCCTCCCTCCCTCCCTCTTTCAGCCTGTGCGCTCCCGGCAAACCGAGTGGCAGCTGCTGATTGGTGGCCGCCGCACAGCGAATCAGAAGGGGGCACCTTACGTTAGGACCCGGAGCTTTAAACGTTGGAGCTGCGGGCGCGCGGCGGAGGCTGGGGAGGAGGGCGGGGCGACTGTACTGGGACCCGCGGCGAGGCGCACGAGCTTCGGGTCCTGGAACGGGCTGGGATTGGCCAGCCCTCGGCTGCCCTTGCCCACAGCCAATCACCTGCGACGACTTCCTGACGGTGTCGCATTTCGTCTCTTGGTTTGGACCGCTGGAGCAGTCCCCCACCAGGTACTGGGTAGTTCAGGGGCCACTGGCGACTGAAGGCAGTGCTCCTACCGCCGTGAAGAGGCCGGGGATAGCTGGCGTGCTGGTCCTGCTCCTGGCATTGACGCAGCTGCTGGCCGTGGCGAAGGCTGGGGAGGTGGACGGACGTGAGCGCCTGGGCAGTGGGCCGGGCCTGCGGGCTCAGAGCTCGGCGCGGCACCGGTGATGGGTGAGACCTGGGACTAGTGGGTTCTGTGAGGAGCCTCTCCAGGACCGATACCAGCGCTAACTTGTTGGAGTTTAAGGGGCGGTGGCAGGTGGCTAGCATCACATAGATTCTGGGAGACCAGCGCGGTGAAGGGGCCGGGGCGGCGGCTGCGGGGCCTCTTTGCAAGCCCCGTGACACGGAGGCTTGGACCGGACAGGGTGCAAAGTGGCTTCAGTGCAGTTGGCTCTTTCGTTCTGATTCTGCTCCGATTTTCCTGAGGTCCAGGTTTCCGAGGAGAAGAGTTGGGGAATTGTTTAGAATTTCCAGGAGAACGCGCCCAGGGAGTGTGAAGGAGACGGAGCCACTGATTTTCAAACAGGATTCATAGGAGACTGGGGACTCGCGCCCACCAACCATTTTACTTTGAAAAAAAAAAGTAGATTTGGAAATAAGTACCCTAAGGGTTCCGATCTGAGGGATAAAGGGATGGCTTGGTTTGCATTCGGAGGTACCAGTCCCTCAGGGAGCACTTAATGAGCACCTAGTATGTGCCAGTCACTGCTCCTGGGTTCCGGGGGGCCAAGAATGGGGCGTGTAGTCTCTGCCCAAGAAGCGCCCGCCCTGGCAGAAACCTAGGACTGCTACTAGTCATTGGTCCTGCACTTTGCTTTGAAATCAGCCAGCTCAGAACAAGTGGATAAGAGGACTTTGATAATTAGAACGTACAAGGCACGAAAAGAAAGCTACTCCTAGAGAACAGGGCATCCTGTTACTGGTCTCAGCTTTCCTCCTTGCTGGTCTTTCTCCTGATGACTAGTTTTTTTCTTTTTTTTCCCTAGTGAGTTTGTTTCAGTGTAATAACACCCCTTTTCCAATATTAGTGTGTAGGAAAGTTTGAACCTTATACTCTTTCAAGCAGATTGAGTAACTTCTCTGGGGTCACTGAATGGAGAAGCTTTACCCAAATAGAAAATGAGGTAAAAGCCAGCACCTAGTAGAAAAAACACCTGCGGAAAGTGACTAGATAGAAGCGTGGCTTTACGAATGTGACTTGGGGCCTTTACCCAAATCATCTGGTGCTTATTTAAACACAGAGTCCCAAAATATACCTAAGCAGAAGGAGCAGTGTGTGTGTGTTTGGCTGGGGACATTTTAAACAAGTTCTTCATGGTTCATAGATGGAATAAACTTTGAGAGGCACATTTAAGTTTGAGGACCAATGGAGATGGAGGATACTTTTTGGAATGTAGCTACAAAGTAAAAACACTTGGCCATCAAGGGCTACTGATAACCAGCACGTTTATCATTTGGCTCCCAGGTCACTAAAGCAGTGGGGGCCCTGGGAGGCAGTTGCCTCTGGGCCGAGCCCCGGAACTCCAGAGTTGTCTAGGCCAAGGCAGGTCTCCCACCTTCGTCCTCTGGGGTGGGCTGGCGCTTCTAGCCTTTGTCTGGACTCCCTCCCGTCCTTCTGGCATCCCTGGCCCTTTTGTTTCACTGCCTGCCAGGGATAAGACTTATACTGTGGGTGTAGGTTGGGGCCGCATTTTTCTCTGCCCCCAAGGTTCCAAGTCTGCAAGGCTTTTAGTGGTGCTTGTCTCTTTCCTACATTGTAGATTCAAACGTCACAGTAGTGCCTGGGCTCTAAATGTCCCCTGGGAATGCAGTTACTAAACAGCGTCAGCGCTGATGACTTAGCCTCAGTTTGCTGGGCTTTCCTCCCTCAGATTAGAAGTCACCCATACTCTCCACCCAGCACCCCCCTTCCCTCTAGCAGTCCCCCACTTAGTTCATGTCCATGGATCTCACATGTGAGTTCTTTGGCTTCTCCGTTTCCTATACAGTTCTTAACATCCCCCTGCCTATTCTGTACCTACGAATTTGTACTTAACCCCTGCACCTTCTCCCCCATTCTCTCCCTTTCCTCTCCCAACTGGTAACCATTCAAATGATGACCCCATCTGTGATTGTATTCCTGTTCTGGTCGTTTGCTTAGTTTGTTTTTTAGATTCAATTGTTGATAGCTGTGAATTTATTGCCACTTTAATGTTTATAGTTTTCATCTTTTTCTTAAATAAGTCCCTTTAACATTTCATATAATAATGGCTTGGAGGTGATGAACTGCTTTAGCTTTACCTTATCTGGGAGCTTTACCCTTCAATTCTGATTGATATCTTTGCTGGGCATAGTAATCCAGGTTGTAAGTCCTTGCTTTTCATCACTTTGAGTGCTTCTTGCCAGTCCCTTCTGGCCTGCAAAGTTTGTTTTGAGAAATCAGCTGACAGTCTTATGGGAAACTCCTTTGTAGATGACTCTGCTTCTCTCTTGCTGCTTTTAAGATTCTCTTCATCGTTAACCTTTGGCATCTTCATTGTGATGTGTCTTGATGTGGTCCTCTTTGTGTGCATCTTGTTTGGGACTCTCTGCTTCCTGGAGTTGCATGTCCACTCGCTTCACCAAGTTAGGGAGGTGTCCTTTACTATTTTTTCAAATAAGTTTTCAATTTCGTGCTCTTTCTCTTTTTCCTCCTGAGACCCGTGTGATTCGAATGTTGGAGCGCTTGAAGTTGTCCCAGAGGCTCCTTACACTGTCCTTGTTTGTTTGCATTCTTTCTCCTTCTTGCTGTTCCAATTGAATGTTTTTTCTTCCAAATCATTAATTTGAACCTCGGTTTCCTCCCCTCCACTGTTGTTTAGTTCTTTTTCTGGAATTTTTACCTCTTCTTCCATTTGGGCCATATGTCTTTGGCTCCTCATTTTTGGCAGCCTCCCTGTGTTGGTTACTATGTATTAGATGTGCCCTGGCCCCATTTCTTAGCAGCGTGGTCGAATGTAGAGAAACACACCTTTAGTTGGATGGGGCAGAGCCTTCGGTAATTTCAGGGCGAGGCAGCCTGTGTGAACCAGGTTGATGGGGTCTCAGGTATGGTACTGCCGTTCTGTGGCTGTGAGGTGGGGGAGGACTCTGAAAAGGCGGTCGCTGCTCCCTGGCCTCTGGAGTGTTGTTCAGGAGGATCCCGTCACCCTCACGCCAGACACTTCGGTTCTTCCCCATGTGCCACTGGTGCCCTTCCAGCTGCTGCCCTGGTGCTGGAGCCCACAGGCTGTGAGTCTGAGTAAGTCCTAAGTCTGTTACAGGCCCTTTAAGAGCAGACACCTGAGAATCCCAGTTTCTTCCATAGCCTCCCCAACCCTCACTGGTTTTAAAACCAGAAGTTATGGGGACTTATCTCCCTGGCACTGGAACCCTGGGCTAGGTGATCTGGTGTGGGAGTGGGATCCCTCATTCGCAAGATACCACTCCCGATTTTTATGTGAGACCAGCCCATTCCAAGTCTCTGCCCCTCCTACCTAAGTGAATGTGGCTTCTTAATTCTTTGGTTGTCAGACTTCCTGTAGAGCTCGATTTTCTGACAATTCTGGGTAATAGTTCTGTGGTTTAGTTGTGATTTTTGCTGTGGTTGTGCGAGGGGACCAGCTGTGTTTACTGATGCCTCCATCTTGATCGGAAGTCTGAGAACATCTGACTTTAAAAGTAAAGAGTGGTCTCCCCACGAAAATGTAGGGGCTTTCTCTGCAGGGAACTGTGGGTTTCTAGTAGGAAGGAGTATAGAGCCAGCACCTTCTCCAGTAACAGAGGAATCGGTCTTTATCAAGAAATGAGTTACCCTCAGCTCTGGCCTGTGGTAACTCACAGATGCCCATTTCATCACGACAGCCCCACCAGCATGAGTGCTCACGGACCACGTCAGGCTGTGTGTGCGTAAAGGAGCTTTGCTCGTCCTTTTTGTAAAATTCTCTTTAGCCCAGTGTGTTGGGTGGGTTATGAAGTCCGTCTCCCTCCCCTGGCTGTGTCTCCTGGCTTGTAGAGCAGACTGAGTTCCCCAGTGCTTTACGTCCACTCTTTCTCCAGTCTTTCCATTTGCCTGCAAGTAAATTTCATTGTGCAAGTAAATCTGACTGGGCGGAGCAGCCAGGCAGAGAGAGTGAACATGTGTGCATTGCCCGCAAGTCCCGCCTAACTGGCCACAGCAGTCATCCAGCTCAAGTGAGCATCCAGACCTGGGCCAGGGTGGACAGTGCCTCCTAGGTGCCCCAGCAGGAGCAGAGACCGCCCCCCCCTTTCCCCCGCAATGTCCAGCCCCCAGCTTTGCAGCCCTCAGGCAGGTCATTTGTGCAGGACTTGAGGGTGAGGTTGTCTTCCCCAGCATCCTCTCTCCTTCCCGTCTGGGAAGCCTTGTTCTTAGTGCTGCCCAGTGACATTGCTGGCGCCCTGGGGCCTCTGCAGGCCTGTCCACCTGACAGGGTTCCTGCGTGGAGGAGGGGAGTGGTGGGGGGCCAGGGGAAGGGATGTTGGAGAGCCGTGACCCGAGTACAGGGCCTGGGCGGGGAGGAAAGCAGAGGGCAGGGGAGGGATCTTGTCCCAAGAAACATGGACACCTGCTCGGTTCGTTCCTCTCAAATGGGTGGGTTTTCTTTGGGGGTGTAGAGCTGTTTCTCCCTCCCCCCACAAAGGGATGTGAACGTCAGGAAAAGACAGTGAGGTGTTTAAAGGGACATGGTTGAGGAAAGTGGCTGGAGGGGTGGGGGTTTGATTTGCTTTAGGTGACTTCTCTGCAAATTGTTTGGTTTTAATGAAAATGAACAAGGCTCCCCCCACCCCCAGACCAGTTCCCTGGCCCCTCTGAGCAGCTGCAGGGCCAGCCTTGAAGTAGGTGAGGGAAGATTACTTAGGGGCAGGGTGGGGCTGGGCCAGTGCCAGGGGTTCGAGGGTCCCAGGAGCAGGTTTTCATGCCCCGACCTCACCCTCAGCCCCAGACTTGGTAACTGTCAGCCTCGCTTCATCTCCTGGGAAGCATCTCCAAACACGAATAACTGGCCCCTGGAAATGTTCTGGCTTCAGAGTTAATGAAATCCTCGCACAAGCTGCCCTGGCTTCAGGTGCCCTTGCTGGTGTGAGCAAAGCTGAAGGACCTGGGGAATGAGAACCACAGTCCCACGGCGCCTGGTGTCCATAGTTCAGAAAAAAAAAATTAACCCGGAGCTCCACCTGGTGGGAACTATATGTGAGGTGTTTCTGAAGTGGCGGGTCAGGGCCGAGCTGAGCCTGGCTGCAGGGCAGGGCCTGGGGAGACTGCAGGGCGAGGCTGACGCTTGGTTGTCTGTGTTCCGGCAGGAGGCATGCCCAGCGGGCCATGGGTGCGACCTCTGGGGAGGGGGCGCTCCTGTGAGGCATTTAGACTTTAAATTCTAGGTCTGGTTTTCAAATATCTTTTTTTTTTTAAATAACACATTCCTTTATTTTATTTTATTTTTTAAATTTACTTTTTTTTTAAAGATTTTATTTATTTATCTTTACAGGGGAAGGAAAGGAGAGAGGGAGAGAAACATCAATGTATGGTTGCCTTTTCTGCATCCCCTGCTGGGAACTGGCCTGCAGGGAACCAGCCTGCAACCCAGGCATGTGCCCTGACTGGGAATCCATCCGCGATTGTCTGGTTTGCAGGCCCCCGGCTCAATCCACTGAGCTACACCAACCAGGGCTCAAACATCTTTTAACCGTGGCACAACCACCCAATTCCCAGGCTTAGAGTAGAAGTTCTGGGGGGGGGGGCAAGTCTGGATGTCACCACCGTGTCTGGTGGTGGCCCCCAGGGACCACTCAGGACTGGGGTGGCACATTTTGAAGGGTTGAGGTGACAAGAACATTTTTGAGGAGAGTCGGCCAGTTTCCTAACCAGTCTGGGTGTTTTGCACTCAGATTCTAATAAAGAAGACGCCATTGAGGATGAGGAAGAGGAAGATGAGGAGGAGGAGGATGACTTGGAAGTTAAGGAAGAAAACGGCATCTTGGTCCTAAATGACGCGAACTTCGATAACTTTGTGGCCGACAAAGATACGGTGCTGCTGGAGTTCTACGCCCCTTGGTAAGGTAGGGGCCTGGCGCGCCTGCGCGGGTCGCCTGCGCGGGTCCCCTGCTCGCCTGCCAGAGCCCTGCAGGGTGGGCGTGGCTGGGAGCAGGGGCATAATTAGCCGCAGATGGAGGGCCGCCAGGAGCTCAGCGCCCCGCCAGTTTGCATGGAGCAGCCGAGAGCCAGCCCTTACAGAATGCGGTCCCCAGTGATTTAAAATAGGAACTTGTCCTCTGATGGTGACAGCTGGGGAAGCGGCTGGCGATTCACAAGTTATGGTGACACGGAAACCCGCGTCGGTGACAGGCATCCGACCCATCTCAAGGCCACCCACCCCCCTTCTGCGGCATTAGGGTGGCTGCCCCGACACCCCGCCCCTCCCCTGTCTCACCCTCAGACCGCGGTGCCTGCGTGGGTGGCCACCGGTGTGCTCCTCCCACCCGCTCTCCTCCGCGGTCTCACAACCCCTTCTTCCCCTTCCCCCACCCCCTGCTTCACTTTGGAGACAGTAGTCAAAATGTACATGTGTGTCTAATGCTTGATGTTCCAACATAGCATATGGTGTTTTATTTTTATTTTTATTTTTTTAACTTTTTTATTGATTATGCCATTACATTTGTTCTATTTCCCCCCTCCATCCTGCATGCCCCTCCCCCACCATTTCCCCCTTTAGTTCATCAACAGGTGTCTCAAATTCTTTACATTCTGTATTTCCCCTACTATTCTTACTCTCCCCCTATCTATTTTCTATCTACTGTCTATGCTACTTATTTTCTGTACCTTCTCCCCCCTTCTCCTTCTCCCACTCTCCTGTTGCTAACCCTCCATGTGATCTTCATTTCTATGATTTGCTCCTGATCTAGCTGTCCTTTTAGTTTGTTTTTGTTTTAGGTGTGGTTGTTGATAACTATGAGTTTGCTGTCCTTTCACTGTTCATCTTTTTCATCCTCTTTTTATTAGATAAGTCCCTTTAACATTTCATATAATAAGGGCTTGGTGATGATGAACTCCTTGAATTTGATCTTTATCTGTCCTTCCATTTTAAATGAAAGCATTGCTGGATAGAGCAATCTTGGTTGTAGGTCTTTGGTTTTAATGACTTGAAATACTTCTTTCCAGCCCCTTCTTGCCTGTAAGGTCTCTTGAGAAATCTTGTGACAGTCTGATGGGAACTCCTTTGTAGGTGACTGTCCCCTTATCTCTTGCTGCTTCTAGGATTCTCTCCTTCATTTGAATCTTGGCTAATGTAATGATGATGTGCCTTGGTGTGTTCCTTCTTGGGTCCAACTTCTTTGGGACTCTCTGAGCTTCCTGGATTTCCTGGAAGTCTATTTCCTTTGCCAGATTGGGGAAGTTCTCCTTTATTATTTGTTCAAATAAGTTTTCCACTGGTGGCTGTGCCTTTCCCCCTTCTGGTACCCCTATAATTCGGATGTTGGGGCATTTAAAGATGTCCTGGAGGTTCCTAAGCCTCTCCTCATTTTTTTTGAATTCTTGCTTCTTCATTCTTTTCTGTTTGGCCCTTTTTTTCTTCCTTCTGGTCCACTCCATTGATTTGAGTCCCAGACTCCTTTCCATTTCTGTTGGTTTCCTGTGCATTACCATTCATTTCAATTAGTTTAGCTTTCATATGTTTCTCTAATTTGTGATTAAAATCAACCAGTTCTTTGAGGATCCCTATAACTAGTGTTTTGAACTGTGCATCTGAAAGTTTGGCTATTTTTTCATCGCTTAGATTTATCGGCTCTGGGGCTCTGAGTTGTTCTTGAGCCATATTTGGTCTGTTCGCACCGGTAAGTAAGTGGAGCGAAGCCTTAGTTGTTTACCAGGGCAGGGCCACCCAGGTCGCTGGTTTGTGATGCTGTGTGTGCGGGCGGGTCAGAGAGGGAGTAATGGCCGTCCTCTCCACTCACCCAGTCCGTCCCACCACTGGCCCCGGCCTGTTCATCCTAGCAGAATTGTGCGAGCCTGCTGCTCTGGACTGTGCGGTCTCAATGCTCACCTCTTCACTGGTTTATCTGCATGCAAACGCACAACCTACCGCAGACAGCCAGCCGCACCTCTTCTCTGTGTGCGCCCGTAGCTAGCCCGTGATCCGCGCCTTCGGCTGCTTGCGCACCACCAGGTCAGGGATCTTTTTGGTCAACCGGCTCCACTGCTGGCTTCACCCCCCTTACCAGGTTAGCCGAGCATTTCGTCCTTTTTTCGGACTCCGTATTGTCGATTTTCTGTGTGGTCTCCTTGTGTTTATTGTTGTTAAAAATAGTTGTTCTTAGATTTGGTTGTGCACGGAAGCAAGGTGGGTCCACCTACGCCTCCATCTTGGCGGAAGTCCCCAGCTCAGTATATGGTGTTTTAAAAGAATAATTTATTATTATTTTTAGAGATGGGGGAAGAGAGGGAGAAAGAGGAGGGAAGAAACATCAGTGTGAGAGAGAATCATGGATCAGTGGCCTCGCCCACACGCCCTGACCAGGGGCCAGATCCACAGCCCAGGCACATGCCCTGACCGGGAAGTGAACCCCGACCTTTCAGTTTATGTGCAGGGGTGTTCAGCACGCAGGCCAACACAAAATTGTAAATTTACTTAAAACCTTTTTTTTTTTTTTGCTCTACCATTTTCATTAGTGTTTGTGTATTTAATGTGTTTCCCAAGACAACTCTCCTTCCACTGTGGCCCCGAGACGCCAGAAGGTTGGATGTCCCTGGTATGAGAAAATGCCCAGCCTACCGAGCCCCGCCGGCCAGGGCCAACTTAATTTTTTTTTTTAATTTACTGAGGCAGTGGGAAGAGGGAGAGAGGAAGGGTTTATTGGTTGATTTGTCGTTCCACTTAATGTAAGCGTTCATTGGTTGATCCTTGCATGTGCTCTGACCAGGGATCCAACCCACAGCCTTGGTGCATCGGGATGGCGCTGCAACACGGCGCCCCAACCCACTGGGACACCTGGCCAGGACAGTGTTCAAACTTTTTAGCCTCGGGATCCCTTAACACTTATAATTTGAGGACCCCAAATAGCTTTCATGTGGATCATGTTTATCAGTACTTAGCACATTAGAAATTAAGGCTGAGAAGTTTTTCTTAACTTTTTAAAAAGATTTCATTTATTTTTAAACAGAGGGAGGGAAGGAGAAAGAGGGAGAGAAACACCAATGTGTGGTTGCCTCTCATGGGCCCCTACCAGGGACCTGGCCTGCAACCCAGGCATGTGCCCCGAGACTGGGAATCGAATCAGAAACCCTTTGGTTCACAGGCTGGTGCCCAATCTGCTGAGCCATCCCAGCCAGAGCTAAAACTGAGAAGTTTTTTAAAAAGTACTTGTTTTTGTGTAACAGTGACCCACTACAGGTCAACATCAGAATGCTGATGTCACTGTGAGTTGTAGCCTCGGGAAAAATCCACTGTGAACTTCTAAGAGAATGAGTGAAAAAGACGAAAAATGTTTGTTTGGAGTTTTTAAAAGATTTTATTCATTTTTAGAGAGCGGGGAAGGGAGGGAAATAGAGGGAGAGAAAAGAGAAACATCAGTGTGTGGTTGCCTCTCAGGCGCCCCCTACTGGGGTCCTGGCCATAACCCAGGCATGTGCCCTGACTGGGCATGGAACCAGAGACCCTTGGGTTGCAGACCGACGCTCAATCCACTGAGCCACACCAGCCAGGGCACATGAAAATGTTTTTGTATGAGTTTCACCTCATGGGCCCTTCACAAGGGGTCTCTGGACTGAACTTTGAGAAACGTATGGATGAAAAAACAAGGCTCAGAGACACTGAAAGAATGTGCCCAAAGCAGAGCGGGAGGTCGAACCCAGGCCTGTTGGACTTCCAGCCACCTGGGCCTTCCCGTCACTTCTGCTCCTAACTGCAGACCTCACCCGTCCCGATGCCCCGTTTCTGTGTGTGTGGCTGGAGTGAAGCCACCACGGGTACCATTAACCTGCTTTTCGTTCCCCAAACCAAACTCTTAGGTGCGGACACTGCAAGCAGTTTGCTCCAGAATATGAAAAAATCGCCAGTACCTTGAAGGAGAACGACCCTCCCGTTCCTGTTGCTAAGATTGATGCGACCTCGGAGTCTGCGCTGGCCAGCAGGTTTGATGTGAGTGGCTACCCCACCATCAAGATCCTCAAGAAGGGGCAGGCTGTGGACTACGAGGGCTCCAGGACCCAGGAAGGTGAGCGGTGCCTCGCTGCTAGGAGGAGTCGGGGCCAGGCCTCTCTCCCCCAGGGAGGGAGTTTGGGTACCAGAAAGGACTGGGAGTGCCCTCTGGGGTCAGCGGCTTCTGGGGATGCTCCTTGCTGGGATGCTCAAGGTGACCGAGATAAAAATGACCTTGTGTTTACATGGGAAGGGTATCTTACAAGAGTTGGAGCTTCTCCTTGGTATTCTGGAGCTGCAATTTTTATTTTATTTTATTTTTTGAGGGCAAGGGAGGGAGAAAGAGAGGGAGAGAAACATCGATTGGTTGCTTGTAACACACCTCCGAGTGGTGACCTGGCCTGCAGCCCAGGCATGTGCCCCGACTGGGAATTGAACTGGCGACCTCGTAGTTTGTAGGCTGGCGTTCAATTCCCTGAGCTACACCAGCCAGGGCTCCACAAAGTTTTTTAAAACACGCAGTACCCGACTGTTCAGTCAGGGGCACTGACCTCTTTTCCCTTAGGTTGTCAAATTAAAAAATGACAACAGCCAACACAACAATAGCCATCTGGTGTGAAGGAGTCAAAATTATACCTTTTTTTTTTGATCAGATGGGCAAGAAAGGGATTTTTTTGGTGTGCCGCAGACTTTTAGTAGTTTTTGTGCCATGGGACAAAAAGGTTGACAACTGCTTCTTCCAGAGCCGAGGCTCTCAACCTTCAGCCTGCCTCAGGGCCAGCAGAGCGGGGTCAGGGCGTCATGGGGACTTCGCGGAGCCCTGTGTCCAGTGTCCCCCTTCGGTAGTGTCAGGTCAGGCTCAGTGACACACATTTCTTACGAGCAGCCCTGGGTGTGAGGCTTCATACCCAAGCCCCACACTGAGACCGGTGGCGTGGGCAGCTAGCCGGTGGCTCTCTGAAACCAGGCCAGGGGGTCACTGCCTACTCCCGTTAAGCCTTGAGTGACTTTATTATACGAACGAAGAGATAAAATGGTGGTATATCCTTTAGGAAGAGCTCATCTCTTCGAGTCACTTCTGAAAGGCTGCATTCCGTCTCCCATTCCCAGGGGCGGAGCGGTAGCAGGACTAGGCAGGGTTTGCTCTCTCGGCTGTGCACCGGCCCTGTGTCCAGGACAAGTGCCTGCCCCTGGTCGGGCCTGGAGTCGCAGCAGGGATGAGAAGTCACTTGGGCTGGGTCTCAGAGTTCCTTCCAGTGGTGCGAGTCTGTCCTGAGACCCTTTGACACGGGCCGCCACTGGGGTGTGCAGACAGAGGCGCTGGCACCCGTTCATTTGCACTGAGTCGTACCCCCCAATGTCTGCCGGTCAGAGCGTGCGTTTCGTGGGCTCCTCGCCACCCTGTCCGGTTATGCGGCTGCCTGGCAGGAAGGTGGCAGCTGCAGCGGGTTCGTCCTGTGTCCTTCAGAGATGCTTTGTACACGTCCATGCTGGGGTGTGTGGGGGGGGGTGTTAAAGATTTTATTTATTTTAGAGGGGAAAGGAGGGAGAAAGAGAGGGAGGGAAACACCAGTGTGTGGTTGCCTCTCATGCACCCCCTACTGGGGACCTGACCCACAACCCAGGCATGTGACCTGAATCGGAATCGAACCAGTGACCCTTTGGTTCTCAGGCTGGTAGTCAGTCTACTGAGCTGTGCCAGCCAGGGCCGTTAGCAGATCTTCAATGTCATCTGTACCCTCTTGTTTTTACTTAACAAACATGTCTTAGCCGTGTTGGTGTGCAGGGAACTTAATCTGAAAGGAGACGGACAACAGTGTGCTGTGTTTTGGGGAAGTAAGCAGGCTTGTATATTTGGAGTTCTGTGGTCAGTGTTTGACTAGAGGGATGGCCCGGCTGGAAATCTGGAGAGCGGTGTTTGCCAAGGGGGCCCCGTGGCTCCTGTGAGTGCGTCTTAATGAACGGGCCTCCCCATCGTGACCGACGTGGGCTCTGGGCATGTCCAGGGCAGGTGGTTCATGCTGTGGGTGTGCATTCCAGTCTGAGAGCTTGTGCTGTGTGGAAGTGGCTCCCACCTGGTCCTTCGTGGGCTCCGCAGCCAAAAACAGGAAAGGAAGTGTGAACAGTTTGCTACCGCTGCTCCCCAGAACCACTTGGAAGATGGTTTGTGAGAATATGCTTGTCGCCTTCTGTATGTGCCTTGACTAGGAATCGAACCTGCAGTCTTTCAGTGTGTGGGAAGACATTCCAACTGCAAACAGGCCTCTTGGTAACGTGACACGGAAGTCCCCTGTCCGAGGCCACACATTCTTCTCTCTCTGGCCATGTTTTTCTCTCTGTTTCCCACTTGCTAATAGCTCTGTCCAGCCAGTGTCCCCTGTCCCTGAGGCTGGACTTGTAATTGATGTCCCCACATCCATCCCCCACACAGCTGCCTGACTGGCCCTCAGGTTTCTTGGTGAGGTAGACATCTCCATTGTACAATTCTGATAACGTTTTCCCTTTTTCTTGTGGACAGGCCCCAGAGAGGGACAAGCAAACAGGGGACGGAAGGCCTTCCACGCCTCCTCCCTCGCCCCAGCCGGCTGCCAAGAAGAACTCGTACCTCTATTCCACGGAGATCACACTGTGGACCGTGGTGGCCGCCGTCCAGGCCGTGGAGAAGAAAGTGGACTCCTGTCTGGCCCGCCTGCTGACTCTGGAGCGGCGGACGGGGTCGGCCGAGAAGAAGCTGGCGGATTTTGAAAAGACGTCCTCAGAGCTCGGGAACCAGCTGGAGGGCAAGTGGGCCGTGCTGGGGACCCTGCTGCAGGAGTACGGGCTGCTGCAGAGGCGGCTGGAGAACATGGAGAACCTGCTGAGGAACAGGAACTTCTGGGTCCTGCGGCTGCCCCCGGGCAGCAAGGGGGAGGTCCCCAAGGTAACCCGGGCACCTGGGGTGGGCCGGCCGGAGGGCCGTGCCTATAAGTGTGGGTGAGCTTTCCCGATGCCTGTGGTTCCAGGTACCCGTGACCTTTGACGACGTGGCCGTGTATTTTTCTGAGCTCGAGTGGAGCAAGCTGGACGAGTGGCAGAAGGAGCTGTACAAGCACGTGATGCGGGGCAACTACCAGATGCTGGTCTCCCTGGGTGAGGCCCCGCAGTGGCGTCCGGGCCTCTGCCCTCAGACTGGCCTCCTGCAGTCTGTGTCCTTGCTTCAGCTTCTGCTCCTCTGGAGTCTGCATCTCAGTGGTGGCCTGGGTGGCAGGGTTCCGCCCCGACCCAGCTGTCTCTCTCCGTTCTGTACACAGATTACGCCATCTCCAAACCGGACATCCTCACCCAGATGGAGAAGGGAGAGGAGCCTTGTCCTGAAGGCCTGTGGGGTCAGGACGAGGGGCAAGAGAGAGAGGCAGCTCGCCCAGAGAGGCCGGGCACTGGTGAGTGGGAGCGAGATGGGCAGGGCACTCGGAGCTGTGTCCCTGTTCTCCTGGGCTTCCCAGGTGTGCTGGGAGGCCGGGAAGGCAGTGCAGGCCCTTGACCCGAGGCAGGGCACGCCCTAGCCCAGGCTGGCCGGTCACAGGTGAGTGCCAGGCGTCAGGGCCCTAAGGTTTCTGCCCCTGTGTAAGAAGGTACACAGCCTGGTGGTGGTGAGGACTGTGTGGGATGGCAGGCTTTGTAAAGCAGAGCGTTTTACGGTAGGTGGGGACCTGCCGCTGTCAGTAAGTGAGCAAGAACTAGAGACAGGATTCTCCCGCCTCCCAAAGTGGGCTCAGGAAACACAGAAAAGCCGAACAGTCCCCTAAGTTTTAAATAGTTGCTCCAATAAACCATTTCTTTGAAACTTTTAGACAAAAAAAAATTCAGATAAGATAGTTGGATGAGTTTTATTACCTAGTTAGAGAAATAATAACTATTTTACATAAAGATCTTCCTGAGAGGAGAAAAGATGAGTACATTTGAAAGCCCCTTTTGTGAGGCCTTGAGCCCCAACCCCAACCTCGATACCAAAACCCAGCAGGTACAGGGGGAAAAAAATGTAAAGGCCAATTCCACTAAAAAATTAAATAAAATACGATCTCACTGAATCCACAGATATACAAACATGATAGCACTTCATGACTGAGTGGGATTTACATCCGGAATGCAAAGCGTGTTTAATTTTACAAAAAGCAACAAAAGAAATTCACCCCGTTAAGAAAGTAAAAGAGAACGATCGTGTGGGTATCTCAACAGATGCCATAAAGGGGGTTTCAGCAAAATTCCACGATAAAAACGGTTTTGCAAGCCAGAAACAGAAACGTCCTTAATTTGATCAGGGCCATTTACGAAATGGATAGTCCACAGCACGGATGTAACCGAGCCATGTTGAAATCTTTTTGTTTGAAATCAGAATGAGACGAGATGGTCAGTGTCCACCCGTTTATTCCACACTGTACTGGAGGTCCTCGTCAGCACAATCATGAATGGAAAAGACATACAAATACACAAGAATGTGGATAAAATGAAATAAAACATTTCCATTTTTGAAGATGATAGGAACCTCTCTCTAGGAAATTTAAACAATCAACAAATAAATTGCTAGACTTAATGAGTGCTTAGCAAGACTACTAGCACAGACCCCACATTCCCTTCCCGCCTTTAACTTGGCAAAATCACAACCTTTATTTATTTATTTATTTATTTATTTATTTATTTATTTATTTTCCAAGGATAAGAACACGTTTGTTTAACAACTTACAACGGCAATAGAAGTCAGCCAGCTGGGCTGTGTCTGCTCAGGAAACAGTTTACAGAAATGGAAGAAGGGCCCTCGGAACTTCAGAGAAAGAAAGGCAAAGGGGATGTGCCAGGGCGGAAGAGGAAGGGGCAGGGAAGGCAGACGTGTGCTTCCGAGAGGGGGCACGCCAACACCATGACCTTCAAAATGATATCATGAAAAGTATTGCATGCAAGTTAGAAAATCTAAATATCTTTGTCTTTCTCCAAAATGACATAAACACCTAAACTCTTCGGACCCCATTCCTTATATGTTGTTAACCATTACTTTAGTTCTGTCTTTAAAAAAAAACCTTATAATGAGACATTGATATTGTGTTGTATGATCAGGGATTTTAGATTTACTTACGTATCTTACAATTTCCTTGTTCCACTTTCCTTCTTGTAACTCAGCCCTCCCATCTGGGGTCATTTTTCTTTTTTCAAAAGTATATATTTAAAATTCTCTTTAGTGAGAGTCTGTTGGTGGTGAGCGCTCAGCTTTCTCTGTCCCTGAAGAACAGTTTAGCTGGGAATAGAATTCAGAGCTGACTCTGTTTCTTCTCAACACACCCGGTGCAGCATTGCGCCACCTCTGGCTTCCTGGGCAACTGCTGACAAGCCGACCAGCAGTCCAGCTCTTGTTCCTTTACAGGGGATCTCAGATTTCTCTCTGGCTACAGTGAAGGCCAGGTCCGCAGCCTCAGCCAGGAGATCACAATCACACTGGAGAGCAGGGGACCAGGTCAGGCGACAGTGGGAAGATCAGAGGACTTGCACAAACACATCACCTGAGCAGAGCAGCCCTACTGTTGGGTAGGACGAGTTCCCCTGCTTCTTCACCATTTGCAGGAGGACTCAGAGACCACATTAGGCAAGAGGAGAGAAAACTGAAACTCCTTTGAGACCTTTAGAGACTAAAATGCTAGGGGGCACCCAGATTTGAACTGGGGACCTCTTGATCTGCAGTCAAATGCTCTACCCCTGAGCTATACCCCCTGCCATACCAGTGGGACCCGATGAGCACCTTTTGCTTGTACAGCCACACCCAGAGTTCCTGCCCCAGATGCCCCTTCCGCGTGGCTCGGCTCAGTTGCCAGACCTGCTTTACTGCTAACTCATCCCCCCACTTTGAAGAAGCCACAGGTTCCCTTCTCCCATAGCACCACAGCCTCTCCACTGTCAGGCCCTGGAGCGGGGCAGTTACCTGGGGAGAAGCCATGACAGCTGGAAGGACCAACAGTCACGTCTGTGTAGTGGGTTCGTGCTGAGCACCTGAGAACAGACTCCCAAGTCCCTGTGGCCAGACCCAGCCTGGAGCCCCTCAAAGATGGGACTCCCAATATGCCAAGGTTGTACCAAGGTTGTATGTTCAATCCCCAAGGTTGTATGCAAGAATCAACCAATGAATGCATTGCTAGTTCAAGAACAAATTGATCTCTCCCTGTCTCTATCTGAAGTAGTGGGATTGGTTAACATGAAATATTATGGGTCTTTACTCCAACGTGATGGGTGTCCTAGGAAGAGAAGAGACTCAGGCTGAAGACAGAGGCAGAGCCTGGGTGATGCATCTACGAGCCAAGGAAGGCCCGGGGTCACCAACAAACACCAGAAGCTGGAGGGAGGCCAGGAAGGGGCCTCCTCTAGCGCCTTTGGAGAGAGCCCGGCCCCCCTGACACCTCCATTTCAGACGCTGGCATCCAGGACTGTGAGACACTACATTCCTGTTGTTTATGTTACCCATGCTGCGGTAGTTTGTTGCAGAAGCTACAGGACATGCTCGTTAGTGATAATCTGCATCACCTCCTGTTAGAAGAACTGGCTCAGGTTTTGTGTCTGGACTGGACCATGGGTGATACTAAAGTTGGTCCCATTGGGGTGCCAGGAAACAGACCCTGGAAGGAGGCTTTGGGGATGGATTTGGGCTTGTCCTTGGCCTTCTCGGCTGTGCCCAGTGCCTGACTGGGTCCTGAATCAGAAGAGATGCCATAAAGGGGGGACTAGAGTGCCTTCTCCATTGAAGTGACTTTGTCAGTTCAGCTCCAGGAGGAAAAGAGACTCTCCGAGGGGGCACCCGGATTTGAACCGGGGACCTCTTGATCTGCAGTCAAATGCTCTACCCCTGAGCTATACCCCCTCTTATTAACAGTGGTGTATAATTAATACACTTTACACCTCCACTCTCACACAGGCTGTTGATTCTGACTCAGCAGAGTTGCTAGTCCTGCTCAACTCTACTTGTAACTCTTAGGCCATAATTATTCTTTTTCCAGAAAGGCACCCTCTCTTCTGAGCACCAGCTAGAAAGGTCACCGAGGGTTCCATCTGGAGCAGCAAAGTCTGTACCTTGCTTGGTGTATCAGGCGGAAGATGAAGCCGAGAGCCGAGTTGCTCATTTCTGAGCGAGGACTAGACTGTTCTTCACCTGCTTATCAGTTGAGGCTACTTTCAAGTTGTCCACAGTGTGGGGCCGAGGTGAGCTCCTCCACCTCCCCTCCGAATCCCCCAGGCCTGGGGAGTATCTCTGGGGGGCAGTGGCAGCTGTTAGGTGGGCCTGCAGATATGTTGGCTCTGCCTGAGGCAGGATGAAGAATTCACAGAACCCTGGCTTCAGACACATGGGCCAGGCGCATAGTAGGCAGGGTGTGACACCTCCTTCAAAAAGGTTCCAAATAATCCCGGCATGACAGTCATCTGCCCTCTGTAATCGCCATGGGCAAGGTCTGCCAGTAGCAGAAAGAACGTTTGATTCTGTTCTGCTATTTCATCCACTGATGTGTCATCCAAGATCATGGTCAATTCCTACATTACATTCTGAACTCGCAGCCTCTGAACAAATGTAACAGACGGAACTCTTTCCCCCAAACACCTCAGTGTGCTTTCCATTATCTGGCTGCCTTGTTTGATGGGAGTTTTCCGTTTTCTCTCATTGTGAATTTTCATTTTCTCTCAAATGGTAAGAGGGCAACTGTGTCTCGGGGGAATTTCTCTACATCGTTCGGAATAAATGTCACTTACCATCAGATTTGTTAAATGATGGCCACGTAGGTGTTAATTCCTCCTGGATTAATCTGAATCGCCTAACAATCCACCATTGTGAGTAACAAGCGGCGGTGTACCCCTAACCCCTTGGCGTGTCCAGCAGTGTATCAATTCCCCAAGAAGCGCCTTAATGTTGGGATCCCTGAGTTAAACACAGAGGGAAAAATGTTGTCAGTCCACAACATTGCTCCCGTTTTTTATTCCATGACCTACTCTTTCAGAAGGCAGTTCTCCAGCTTGTCCCAGAAAACCTTTGTCTGCCTCGTGGACTGTCCATCTTTAACATGATTCCTACAGAAACATAAAGGTTTCCTTCCTTAGGGATCTTCAGGGCCCAAGTAAATGTTCTGTCTTTGTAGCACAACCTGTGGTCAGTTACCCGAGTCAGTCCGCTGGGATTAAGGGCGCCCAATGAATGAATGTCAGCGTCTAAACCGCAAGCAGCGGTGCCTCCTCTGGGTGGTGTGTTTCTGCAGGTGCAAGCCTCTGGCCGAGTCGATGGTGCCTTTGTGCAAAGGAAATGACACTCTGCTGTGGCCTGTGCCACGGTGTATGGGCCAGATGTCGGCGCTGGCTGGCCTCTTATCCCTGTAACCTCAGGACAGCTCTGCCTTTGCCTGGCATACATGGTAAAAACGCAGACCAGGCGGACCCTCCCCAGAGGTAGTGAGTGGCAGCTTTCCCAGGTGATTTCGTGCAAACTGAATTTGCAGAACATTTGATCTAGTGAGTGGAGAGGCTGGAGGGGGGAAACTATTTCTGTAACAGTGACTGGGAGTTACATGAAAAAATTAGAGCACTTACATTCTCAAATTATGGGCAGCTTTTACTTGTCTTAAATTTGCTTCATTTTATGTATCTGTAATTTTTACTTTTTAAAGGTTTTAGTTATTTTTAGGTTGGAAGGGAGGGAGAAAGACGGAAGCATCAATGTGGTTGCCTCTCATGTGCCCCCTACTGGGGACCTGGCCTGCAACTCAGGCATGTGCCCTGACTAGAAATCGAACCAGTGACCCTTTGATTCACAGGCTGGCACTCAATCCACTGAGCCACACCAGCCAGGGCTATGTATATCTGTAATTTAAAAAGATTTTGCTTATTTTAAAAGAGGGCAGGGGTGGGAGAGAAACATTGATGCCAATTGGTTGCCTCTTGTACATGCCTCAACAGGGGTACGGAACCCCTTACCCAGGCATGTGCCCTGGCTGGGAATCAAACCCCTGACCTGAAGGGATGATGCTTTGTGGGATGATGCCCAACCAGCTGAGCCACACCAGTCAGGGCTGTAAACCCCTGCCTCTATGTCTCCATCTCTGAAGCGTCCCCGTCCCTGTCCCCTCTCCATCCATTTCCAGCTGACTCTGCATTGCTGCCTCGGTCTTTGTCCCCTTCCAACTCTTGCAACTCGCCTCTGTCTGTATGCCACCCTTGAACCCCCAAGAGAGTGAAGGGGTCCGTTTCTCGCGGTGGCTGCTAACCTGGCAGCGGGAGGGGCGCCGGTGCAGGTACTCACAACGCCTGTGGCGTTTGCTCCTCCCGGCCGCAGGGGGCGCTGTTGAGCCGGGGCGTGGCCCGGCCGCGATTCCCAGTGTGCACTGGGGCGGGGCCTGCGCATTGGGGCGGAGCGAGGGCGGTGGTAGTTTTGTTGCTCGGCTGTGGGGGCCGGGCGGAATCACGAAGGGCCATGGCCGCGCCGGATTCGGTAAGAGGGATGTCTTGAGGGGACCCCCAGGAGCAGGGCGGGCCTTCGGTGTCCAGTTTGGCGGGCCGGCGGCGGACAGGTGGGGCGCCGTCTGGGTCCCCCTAGACTTGGGTTGTGGGGTCCGACTCTGGACGGAGCTGGTGATCGCCGCTCGTGGCGGTCGTCCGTGGCCAAACACCTGAACGAAGCCGAGCATGGACTTGGGGGAGCCTGGGCCCGGGGCTCCCGGGCGCGCAGCGGGCGGACAAGGAAAAGGACGGAAGGAAGAGCGGGGCCGGCAATGTGTGTTACACAGTTCAACCAGCTTTCGTTGTTGAATTCAGAGCTAGTGTTTGGAAAGATTTAAGATTCTGCCCGGTTGAAGCTACGCTTGGCAGCGGCTTAAATGTCAGCATTCAGCCGCTAACGTGTCAGAGTTTTGTTGAGTGTCCGAAGGAAGGATGGCGAGGGTACGTTGGAAGGAGTAGAAGTGGACATAAAAACTGGAGTACATACTATTTCATTAGCGTTTTGTTGAAACCGTGGTTTAGAGGGAGTGGCCATTATTTGTATGATGTTATCCTGTATAAACTTCATGTTGAGCGTTTAGGCGCAGTCCTAAACGAATTCATGAGGTCGTTGATTTTGAAATACTGTTCATCTCAACAAAAGACATAATTCCTGGGATTAAGTATAGAAAATATAATGCAGTACATTAATAGATGAAATGATAGATAAATGGGAGCTATACCGCTTTTTCCATTTGGTGGGGGAGGAACACATTGAGGTAATCACTACTGTGTACCATTAATAAGTTGCATTTTATGTATATTAAAAGTCCAAACATAAACAAGTGAAACTCTTTTGGAAGAAAATGTAGAATAACCTCAGTGTAGAAGAAGATTTCATAAAACACAGAAATCAAAGTAACTTAGGAAAAGGTTGATATATTTACATCAAAATTACAAAAATGATGTCTAGTATAAAACAGCATAAATAAAGTTAAAAATTTAGACACACTCGGAAAAAGCATTTGCAGTGTAATGTAGTTATCCCTCAATGTACAAATTATATAAAGAAACCCTAGAAATGAAGACAGGTGACCTAGTAAAAATACATTCAGAGGTTATGAACAGGCAATTCACAGAGCTGAAAACGGTGAGTGGACAATGGTTAAAAATTGTGACATTCAGACAATGGAACCCTATAGAAAATTACAGTAAATCTGTTCTCTATCAAAATGGGCGGATCTCAAAATATTGAATGGAAAATCCAAGTTGCAGTATGATTAAGTATTTTTCTATAAAAGACAAAGTGGTAATATTATTTATAGATATGTATGCATATTAAAAATGAAAAGCATGGACTGAAGAGTTACCACATTCATTATACTGCTCTGTCCTCCGTAGGGAAGAAGCTAGGACTTGAGGGTGAGAACAAGATGGAAGAGGGGACCAAGAGGACTTGAACTTCATGTGTCACACTCTGATTTATTAAAAGGAAATTTGATGAAAAAATGTTAAATTTATAAAATCCATAGTAAATACAAGGATGTTTGTTATAATGTTCTGTTATTTTTCTGGATTTTTAAACTTCTGAAAATTGAAGTCATAAACAATGAAGGCTTTTTGAACATTTTTGAAAGACATTTATTTAAAAGTAAGGAATTGGCCCTGGCTGGTGTGGCTCAGTGGACTGAACACCAGATTACAAAGCAAAGGGTTCCCAGTTCGAATTCCCAGTCAGGTCACGTGCCTGGGTTGCAGGGCATGTCCCCAGATGGGGGTGTGTGAAGAAAGGCAAATACACACTAGTGTTTCCTTCTCCCTCTCTTCCCCTCTCTCTAAAAATGAATGAATAAAGTCTTTTTTAAAAGTTGTAAAAAAATAATAAATAAAAGTAAGGAATTGCCCTGGCTGTTGTGGATTAGCCTGCAGACTGAAGGGTCACTTTTTCTATTCGCAGTCAGAGCATAGCCAGGTCCCCAGTTTGGGGCTTGAGAGAGTCACTTGATTGATGTTTCTCTCACACATCATGTTTTCTTTCCTGTCTTTCTCCCTCCCTTCCCCTCTCTCTAAAAATAAATTTAAAAAATTTTTAAAATTATTTATTTATTTAGAGGGGAAGGGAAGGAGAGAGGGAAAGAAATATCCATGTATGGTTGCCTCTCAGGTGTCCTCCACTGAGAACTGGCCCACAACCCAGGCATGTGTCCTGACTGGGAATCAAACCGCAATCCTCTGGTTCACAGGCCTGCGCTCAATCCACTGAGCTACACCAGCCAAGGCCTAAAAAAATTTTTTTAATAAGGAATTTACAGAGGAGGATAAGTATATTTAACAGAGATAAAGACAGGCATCTGATTGTGCTACAATACATCATGCAATTCTAAAAATCACAATGCCAGGCAAAACCATGCAATAAAAACTGTAGCTTATGGGAGAAATGGTGTAGGACACACAACACTCAAAACATTTGTCAGGGCACATGCAGCAATCTACCAGTGGACGCACGAATGGGTGCAGTGACAAACTGATGTTTTTCTGTCTCTAAAATCAATAATATAGAAAAAAGTTTGTCAGCTACATGTTAAAAAGAAATGATAGGAGCCTTGGCCAGGTAGTGTTGGCACATATAAGAATTAACCAACGAATGCATCCATAAGTGGAACAACAAATCGATATTTCTCTCTCTCCTCCCCCCTTTCCTTCTCTAAAATAAATTTTTTTTTCTAAAGACCAAAAAATAAAGGATGGGAACTTAATAGAACAGCTGTTTTATGCATGTTAAGTGATTGAGAAATAATGTCTTTAGACCTACCTGAAATTTGCTGTGAAAGTGGGTGTAAGAAGGAGGGGGCTTGTGAGTTATGGTGAAGTCGTGGAAGGAAGAGTATCTGAAATCAGCAGGTTACAACACCAGGTGTGGGAAGGTGGGGCTCATCATACAGGGTCAGACAGGCACTGCAGGGTGTCCACGTGTGCATTTTGGATATTCCTACTCAGTTCTCACAGTAGCAACTAAAACTCTAAAATTGCTAGGAATGAACCAATCAATCATTCTATAATATCTATATGAAGAAAACTATAAACTTTATTAAAGCGCATGAAATATGTAGGTAAATCAAAGACATAGCAGGTTTCTGGGAGGGAAGAGCCCATGTTTTAGAGATCCAGTTCTCCCCAAATTAATCCATATACTCAGTGTATTCCTATCAAGGTCCCAATAGAATCTGTGTAAGTCTGGCAAACTATTTCTTCTGTTTATGTAGAAGAGAAAATGGACAAGAGAAGTCAAGACAATTTTCTGTAAAAAATGATGGAGGTGGTGGTAGATGGCCATGCCCTTTTAAATAGCAAAATATTTGCTAAAACTAAGAAACGGTGCAGTAATGGAGCAAGAATAGGCAGATTTGCCAGTGGAACAAAAATGTACCCAAATATAAATGGAAAACTAGTTTATAAAAAATGATCCCAAATCAATGGTAAAAGAACAGACTAGTCAATATATTTTATGTCTGTCGAATAATCATTTTGGAAAAAGAATTGTGTCCCTTTTTGTTATGAGAAATAAGTTTCATATGAGAAAAGTTCTTGTTCTGATAAAGCTATAAAAATGTTATGTAGAATTCAGAATATCGTTTATAATTCTAGAATAGACCAAGGCTTCCAAATCCGGACACTAAATCTTGAAGCTGCACAAGAGGTACTAACAAGTATGATAATATACGAAAAAAGCAGTGTACTTTGAGAAAAGATGGAAAACATTATTTTACTGGAGAATTATGATTGTATCCCACCAAAAATTTAGTACTGTTGGGATTGACAAACACATGTGCTACATTAATTGTGTACAAAGCAAGTTTACAAAAATCACTGCTTTTTCAATCCTAGAAGTGATTTGAGGGACGGATGTGGTTCCCTCTGCAGTTGTTGGAAAAATCACAGAATGCCAGTAATGAAATTCGTAAAACAGATTCAGTACATTTATGAGGAAAATTCTTAAGTTTATTAAAGACTATCAAGCAAGGCCAAATGAAGGGAGTGGTAGAACATGTTCCTAGATGAGATCAATCTTTCCTAAATGCATGTATAATTTAGTGCAGTTCAAACAGTACCAATATGCTTTTTAAAAGAAATTATTTTGGAGTTAATAAGGAAGGATTAAACATTTTAGGAGCTCACAACAGTAGCTTGGCAAAGAAAGTGGGAGGGAGGAGGACTCGCCCCCCAGGATTACAGCATTGCATAGGTATGGGAATCAGGTACGTGCGATGGTTTAACAGAATCTGTAGATTCACATACATGGAAATCAAGTGCAGTTGACCCTTGAACAGCACAGGTTTAAACCGCATGGTCCACTTCTACTCATATATTTTATTCAGTAAATACACAATTGGCTTTCTGTATCCCTGGGTTTTACATCTATGGATTCAATTAACTGCAGTGAAAAGCAGTATTTTCGATCTTCAGTTGGGCATCTGCAGGTGGAGGCGGCCGGCTTATGCCTTGTTCTGCGCCATTTTATATAAAGGATTTGAGCGTGTGCGGATTTCGGTATCCTTGAGGGGTCTTGGGACCAACCCCTCACGGATACTGAGGGATGACTGAAGTTTTGGGGGAGTCAAAAGTTACGCATAGTTTTTCCGCTGCTTTGGGGCTGGGTGTTTCAAGGTGAACTGTACATGCAGAGGCTGAAGGCTGGTATTTCAGTCCACAGAGAGAGTGGTGGATTTACTAGTAGTGCCGTGTGATCGGCTCTCCATGTGGATGTCAATAAAGGTGCCAATCGCATCTATACAACTAAACTGCCAATCTAAGTGTTAAAAAATTAGAACGTTTGTATAAACTTTTGATGGGCAGGAAAGAAAAAGCTGGAAACACTATGGAATAGACAGATTTTGAACTAAATGAAAGGGTCAGAATAGCAGAGGATGAGATCAAGTTACAATTGACACACTGGAGAAAGCATCTGCTACTCAGAGTTATTAACCCTAAGATTATGAGAGCAAAGGGTATGGACAGGTATGCACCAAGATATGTAGGACCCCCTCCCCCAAAGAAGTATGAAAAGGATGCTAAGCCTCACAGATTAATGCATAGTAAAACAATGAAATACAAAGTTTTTTACCCATGACATTGGCAAAAACATACTAAGTCTTTAGGACATTCCCGTGCTGGCAGGGGTACAATGACGTGTTTCATCCTATTAGCAAAGGTGAACGTGCTGGATCCTTTTCGGAACGTGGAAGGGGCTGTGGTCAACACCAGCACCACCTACCTGGGGCAGAGGAGGAGCCGCTCCCCAGGGCAAAGCTGCCACACAGGCGAAAAGCAGTGTCCACTCCCAGAGTCTTCTAAATGATGAGAAGGAGCTGGAGTCACTTTGACGCAGTCATGACTGTGTGTGCGTTATGCATTTCATTTCAGCTCCCTCTGACCTTTGAGGATGTTGCCATTTACTTCTCGGAGCAAGAATGGCAGAGACTAGAGGCCTGGCAGAAGGAGCTTTACAAGCATGTGATGAGAGCCATTTATGAGATCCTGGCTTCCCTAGGTAAGCAGTGGTCAGCGTGGTGGGTAAGTCTGCACCTGGGTTCTGGAAAAGGGCTCGGTCACTGGATGTTCCTACCTGTCAGGTAGCCAGAATTCTCAGAAATTAACTCCACGAGGCACTTTCACCCCGAATTCTTCTGTTGATACTTCCGTCAGCACTGCTACTCCTTACACAAGGGTAGACATTGTTATGTGACAATACTGGAGACAGCATGGAATGCGAGGTGGTCGGGGGTGACCGGAGAAGTGCATCCCAGGGCACTGGGTCACTGCACGCTGTCAGGTTCCAGGACTGTCCGCTCGGGCGCATGCCTGGTAGCTCATACCCAGGAGGTGCCTGCATCCTCCAGCCTCGGGTGTCTGAGTCTCTCAGCTTTTCGGGCCATGTCCCTGTGCCTCCAAAGAGCTCGCGTTCCTTTCCCTGCAGGCAGATCTTGGCACTGCTGTCCCCTGGGCTGTCTGTGCCCTGTTGTGGGAGTGGGTGTTCTTTTTAGTCTTGCTGCTGACAGGGTCTTTTGTGTTTCTTTTTATTATCAATCTAAAAAAAACAGGCCTTTCAGAAAAGCATCAAATGATACCACTCTCTTGCTGAATGAATGCTTACCCCCTCACTCAGTTCGTTCCCCAAAGGCAACCACGTTTAACCATTTCTATTCTAGTTTTCACTGCGGTTGTCTCCGGTCTGCGTTAACTGTCTGTCATGCTTACACTTCTCTCTCTTGATTTTTCACGTTTAAGCTGCATTAACGAACTCATTACTATGCAAAGTGGGGCATTATGTCACTTAGGCTGCCATTCTTCTGTCTGTTTTTTCCCTTTCTCCCCAGATTCTGACCATTTTTTTTCATGCCTTTATAACTTGAACGATGAACTTCTAGATTGTGGGCCTTCAACTTGACATCACATCACCTGGCTCCTTCAGTGTGTGAAGTTGTCCTGTACCTCCTTCCCCCTCTCCTGCCGGTTCCCGACTGCCATACTGTTTCCTCTACATGGCAAGGTTTCTGACATTTATATTTTGTTTCGTTAGCATAATTTTTCCAGGTTCTATCTGTAGAGTGTTCCTGAAACACATCATCTAAGACATTACATTACTGTATTTTCATTATTACTGAAGAACCAGTGGTTGGGTTGACAGCAGTAAATGTCATCTCATGTCATCAACCATGTGCCCCTCAAAAAGAATGCCCCAAGCATCAAGATCAAGTGCGTGTGCAGTGGTGCGCCCTTGTGGTTGCGTCTGCGCTTCTTCAGTGGGTCATCGTGCTGAGTGTCTTCTTTTACCTTCTTCTGAGAAATGTCTATTCAGATACTTTGCCCACTTTTACGTTGGGCTCTTTGTCTTTTTACTGTCGAATTAGATGTGTTCTCTTCTTGTTTTGCATACTGGGCCCTTATCAGATACATGATTCGCGCCTGTTTTCTCCATTCTGTGGGTTTCCTGGTGTCCTTTGAAGCACAGAAACTTTCGATTTCCATGAAGTCGAGTTTATTTGTTCTTTTATTGCTTGAGCTTGTGATGCTGTATCAAAGAAACAGATGCCTAATCCCGAGTCACACAGCCACTCCCCTGTTTTCTTCTAGGACTTTTCTAGTTTAAGCCCTTACATTGAGGCCTTTGACCTCTTTTGAGATAGTCGTTTTATAGGGTGGGAGGTGGGAACCCACTTTTGCATATCGATATCCGATTGGCCCAACCCTGTTTGTTCAAAAAGCTATTTTTGCCTTATTGGATTCTCCTGGCAGCCTTTTGGAAGATCAGTTGGCCATAAATGTCCGTTTATTTCTGGATTCTGAATTCTCTATTTTCTCAATCTGTGTGTCTGTCCTTGTGTCACGACCACACTGTTTTGATTCCTTTTGCTTTTAGGATTAGTTTGTCAATTTCTGCCCTCCCCCCTTGCCCCCCATTCCCACCAAAAAAAAGTAGATTGGATTTGGGGAATATTGTCGTCTTAACAATACCAGCTCTTTAATTTATGAACATGGGTATCTTTCCATTTATTTAGGATTTAATTTTGTTTTCAGCAATATTTTACAGTTTTTATTGTACAGGTCTTGCATTTTTTATTAAATTTTTTCCAAGGATTTTACTCTTCCTGATGTTATATAAATGAATATTGTTTTGTTTATTTTTGGAAAAATACTTTTATTTATTTAAAACTGGTTTTTAAGATTTTCTTTATTTTTTTAATTTTTTAAAATTAATTTTATTTAGTTATTTTCAAGTACAGTTTCTTTCTATTTTTCTCATCCAAACCTCTCCCATCCCTTGCTCCCCACCTCCCTCCCATTTCCACCCCCCTTAGTTCTCATCCCTGTGTCCTTCCTAGTTGTTCCTCCAAATCCCTGCCCATTTTTCCCCTTAACTTCCCTTCCCTCTCCCCTCTGGTCACTGTCCTCTTGTTCTCTATGTCATTGTCTTTGGTTTTTTTTTTGCTCCTTGTTTGTTTTGTTGTTTAGCTTCTTGTTAAATGTGAGATCATATGGTATTTGTCTTTCAAGATTTTATTTATTTTTAAAGAGAATGGAAGGAAGGGAACTTTAGGAAAGAGAGAGAGAACAGCAATGCGTGGTTGCATCTCACAAGCCTGGCCCACAACGCAGGCAGGCGCCCTGAGTGGGAACTGAACCGGCAACCCTTTGGTTCCCAGGCCAGTGCTCAATCCACAGCGCCACACCAGCCAGGGCTATAATCTGGTTTTTCACACCTTTTCTCATACATTGTCCTGAGTTAATTTTAAGAAATTGAAAAACTGCTCAGTATGCCTTAAATGTCTCACTCGAGGAAACCAAGTTCCCATTTGGCTTCTCTGTGCAGATGGCGGACTTCCCAAACCAGAACTGATATCCCGGATTGAACAGGGGACAGAGCTCTTCAGGAAGTTAGGAGAACCACAGAAATCAGGAACCATAACTTGCAACCCTGCTGATCTGCATTTTGGCGCAGTTGTTGAGGGGCAGCAGTTCTGGGGTAAGTAGGAAGAAGTCAGCCCTGTCCTTAACTGAGATTCAGGTTTCTCAGTTCTCATTCTCCGAGCTGGTCTCCTCCTTCGGCTGGGCTGAGGCTTGCTGTCTGCTGTGTTCTAGAGGAAGGCAGTTGTGGCTGGTGGTTAGGGGCGTGGGTTCTGGAAGGAGAGTGTGATGAGAGAGGAACGAGACGAGGCCTTGCTGCCCGGCTTGGGGACCGCTCGTGGGTCCCACAGAGTCTCAGGTCAGTCAGGGCCGCCCAGGAACACCACTGCCGTCCCTCCTAGACTCCGGGGTGCCTGCTCATCACAGCGGGGTGAGCCTGACGGTCCCGGGGCCTGACCGTGGGGAATGTTCACAGAGCGGGTGCAGCACGCCAGGCCCGCGCTGAGCACTCTGCACACGCGAACCCCTGTAATTGGCCCACAGTCTCACCGCCCCATTTCTGCAGACGGACCTGAAGCCCAGAGCGATTAGCTTGACGGGCGCTGCCTTGGAGATGTGGCTTCGAGCCCAGGCAGTCGGCTCCCGAGCTCCGGCCCTCTGCCCGTGGCCGGTCTTCCCCTCCTTTTGGTATTATCTAAGGAAGTGTGTTCGGCTGAGTTTCAGCAGACCCGCCCCAAATTGCTGGTCACGGGAGAGTGCAGCCCGGTGGAAACGGGTCCGCAGGCCAGCACAGGTCCCTGGTACGGGCCCCCTTACAGGTGCCATAGGCAGTTAGTCATGTCGTAGACAGGAATTCCGACGGATTTTCGGTTTCAGGATCAGGAAGCCAGCAGGCCGGGAGTCCCAGAGAACCCGAACGCCACTTGCAGGTGCAGCCTCTTGAGAGCCCCCGTTGCTCTGAACCCTTATCGGGAAGAAGCAAAGGCATTTCCTTCAGACCCGACCAAGGTGTTGCCCTCGTGAAGCCAGACAGACGCAATCTACGGGCTCTGCTCCCAGCAGTCCACCACTCCAGGGAGCTCCCGCAAAGAGATGGAATCTTGAACCCCACAGCTCGGGGTCCCCCAGACCCCCAGGAAGCGCCCTCCAGGGAGGGCGCCCCGCCCCCCCAGCCTGTCTGCAGGGAAAGCTTTTGGAAGAAGAACCCCTTAGAGAAGCACCACAGAAGCCGCTCAAGGGACCAGCTGTGTGGGGCCTGGGAGAAGCCGGGCAGACCAGCTGATCCACAGCATCCGTGTAGCACCCCTTGGGGACAGAGGCGCTCCAGATGTCACGAATGTGGAAGGAGCTTCCGCCTGAAGCAGGATTTGCTGGGACATCTGCCCGCACATGCGGGGAGGAGCCCGCTGCTGAATCCTGACTGTAATGGGTGCCTCTACCGCAGGTGGGCCCTTCTCAGCCCCCACCTCCTGCACCCAGGGCAGAGGCCTGCCCCGTGCCCCAGGTGCGACAAGAGCTTCCTCCTGAACAACAGCACGCAGGCCCCCCAGGGCCAGGGCAGCAGGGCAGGGCCAGGCTCCCACAGAGAGGGCGCTGGGGCCTTCGAGACCAGCAGTGGTCACTCAGGAGAGAGGCCAGGCCCCTGTCCGGCTCGTGAGGAGCACTGCCACCTGACGGGGGGCATGGAGGTCATCCTGCAGCACTGCCCCGCCAGGGAGAGGCCACTCTCTTGCACAGAATGCGACAAGGGCTCCTCTGCCAGGGCCGCGCTCCCCAGCCATGTCCGGGTGCACACAGGAGGAAAGCCCTTCCCGTGCCTGGAGAGTGACAAGAGCTTCCGCCTGAGTGGCCTGCTGAAGGCCCACCAGCGTGGGCACAGTGGGGAGACACCCTTCTCCTGCGGGAAGTGTGGCAAGGGCTTCAGCAAGCAGTGTGAGCTCGCCGAGCACACCCGGGTGCACAGCGGGGAGAAGCCCTTCTGGTGTGGCGAGTGTGGCCGGGACTTCCGCCAGAGGGGACAGCTGCTGAGGCACCAGCGGCTGCACAGTGACGCGAAGCCCTTTCAGTGCCCGGAGTGCGAGCGGAGCTTCCGTCTGAAGAGCTTGCTGAAAGCCCACCGGCTGCGACACAGCGGGGAGAGGCCGTTCTCCTGCGGCGAGTGTGGCCGTGGCTTCACCCACCAGTGCAAGCTCCGGGAGCACCTGCGTGTCCACAGCGGGGAGAGGCCCTTCCAGTGCCCCCAGTGCGACAAGAGCTTCCGCCTGAAGGGCATTCTGAAGGCCCACCAGCGCACCCACAGCGCGGAGAGGCCGTTCTGCTGTGCGGAGTGTGGCAAGGGCTTCACCAGGCAGTCCAAGCTCACCGAGCACCTGCGCGTGCACAGTGGGGAGAGGCCCTTCCAGTGCTCCGACTGCGACAGGAGTTTCCGCCTCAAGGGGCAGCTGCTGAGTCACCAGCGCCTGCACACAGGAGAGAGGCCCTTCCAGTGCCCCGAGTGCGACAAGAGCTACCGCGTGAAGGCTGACATGAAGGCCCACCAGCTGCTGCACAGTGGGCAGCTGCCCTTCTCCTGCGAGTGTGGCAAAGGCTTTGCGAAGCAGTCAAAGCTTGTCGAGCACATGCGGACACACACAGGGGAGAAGCCCTTTCAATGTCCCAAGTGCGACAAGAGTTTCCGCTTGAAGGCACAGCTGCTCAGCCACCAAGGCCTGCACACAGGGGAGAGACCTTTCCACTGCCCCGAGTGTGACAAAAACTTCCGGGAAAGGGGACACATGCTGAGGCACCAGCGCATACACAGGCCCGAGAGGCCCTTTGCCTGTGGCGACTGTGGGAAGGGCTTCATCTATAAGTCAAAGCTGGCTGAGCACGCCCGGGTGCACACAAAATCCTACCGGGCCCCGAGTGGCCCGGACATTCAGAGACGGCTCAGCCAGCTGTTCGCCATGATTGAGGCCGACTGGAGCTGAGACGCCGCAGGTCCGAAGCCATCAGTGGGTGGCGAGAGCCTGGGGGTCGCCATGGCCCAGCCCCTGCTGCACAGGTTTTAAGCAACGGGGCCCTGTTCTGAGCCAGAATGGAACATGTTGGGCCCGTGAGAAACCACAAAGGGTTTCCCTTTTTAAATCATCACAGTTACATTTGCTGCCTGTGGATAAAAGGACCTGTTTGTTCTTCCTGCCGCCTTAACTGGTAATTTCCCCCTAAATGCTTAGCTAGCTCTGAAATCTGGAGCTCGAATTTAAACCAGAAAACCATCCAGCGGCGGCTGCTACCTGTCAACTCCCCTTCTCTCTTTTCACGGTACGATCCCAAACTGGGGGTTAAGTCCAGTGAATTTGGTTGCAGGCCTAATAGGGCATTAGATTTGGGGTAGACTGATTTATTTGGAAACGGATGATAATAGAAGGAGTTCTCCGAAGCCCAGTATATGTGAGTGCTGAAGTTTCCACAGCAGATTCCATCGTGACCCTGACTGGTTCCCCCATGGAAGAGCTGCTGATTTCAGCAAAATGTTGGCTACTCTGAGTTGCAGACACACAAAACTGAAGGTGCCGAGACGTGTGGGACTAGAATTCAGAGAAGAGTTTGGGAGAGGAGGTGCCGATTCGGGAGTTCCGGAGCAGAGACGCTCCTTGAAGTGGAGCGAGTGGACGAGGTTACATCTGTGGACAGAGCGGCTGAGCAGGCAGCAAAGCCAAGTCCAGGTGAAACAGCCAGGAAGAACAGCCTCGTGTGGGGCGTTTTCAAGCAAATGTTGTAAGCAAACACGATACAAGTAGAAATCCAGCACAATGCTGCATTTGGTAGGTGAGGGTTCTGTGAGCACAGAATGTTTATGCTATAGGGAGAGGGCTGTATTTCACACACAATTCCTGCCTTTCAGAGAGTTCACGTTTCATGTCATAGAGTGGCTGACCTGAAATTCTGAGGGATGGCAGAAAATGAGACTCAGGAAAGTGTAATAGACATTACTATGAAAACTATATCAAAGATGATTTTCTGTGGAACACTAGCTTCAAATATTATATATGTAATATCCACTGTTGCCCAGGGGATTTAGCGCTGGCCTGTGAACCAAATTTTTCACTGAAAAATGGAGGTTGCTGGTTCAAGTCTCAGTTGGTGCACGTGCCTGGGTTGCAGGCCAGGTCCCCAGTAGGGGGCGTGTGAGAGGCAACCACCCATTGATGTTTCTCTCCCTCTCTGTCTCCCTCCTTTCCCCTCTCTAAAAATAAAATAAAATCTTAAAAGGTTCTTTAAAGGGTATTCAGAAAAATGAGAGAAAGCACTGTTATTATAAATAATAACAATGTTATGAAAAGGGAAATATCTAGAGATACAAGCTCTAGGAAGATAAAAGAAAAAGTAATTGCTAAAATGAAACACCTTATACTGGGATTAAAGAAATCTCCCAGGATACAGAACCCAAGGTCCAGTGGGTAGAAGGTAAGGAAGGCAGTGGAAGAAAATGAGTTGTACAAATACCAGCCTTTTGCCCATTTTTCTATAAGATTTTGGTCCTTTTATTTCTTTCAGTTGGTAAAAGTTATATATTAATCGTAAGTGCATATATGCTGTAAACGTAGGAGGAAGTGAGTTGGGAGAAATGGCAAGCAAATTGAGGGGGGAAAAGTACACCAAAAAGTTCCTTTAGAAATTTGGAACTATAGGGGCAGAAAGATTTTTTCCCGCTCTAGTATTACATGTGAGGGTGTGGGTGCAGCAGTCACAGGACAAGAAGCTGCTCCCAAAAGGAGAAAAGAAAGGAATTACAGTCCATTCCCCAAACAGTACATGTTCCAGTTGACCAGGGGCTGCCTTCATCGGGAGCGTTGGGAGAGCCAGGTATCGACGCCTCAATAACAAATTTTACTAACTAACCTTCCCCCACCATCAGTTTACCTTTCTGTTTGCCTCCTTTACTGCCCACCCCACCCCTCCCAGTTCCTCATAGTTGCTAGGGGAGTTGCCTTGAGGCTGATGTAGCCAAAACTTGCCGGAAACAGTGAACACCTACCATCCTAAGCAGGTGGCTGGCAGGAGGTGGTTGAGTAGTGAACTGGCATATACACACGCAATTTCGAGTTGAGAACGGACAGTCTGGAGTAGCAAACATTGAGGTGGGAGAATACAGTATTACGCATGACCCGAATCCCTGACTTACATGGCGATCAATTTTAGATTCAACCTTGTGTCAACCACAAAAGGAACAGTCAGCCCGGTTAGTGTGTCCTAGCTGCATTAATAACAGTTTTCAGAGCTCCAGAGAGCCCGGGAAGACTTGGGAGGTTGTTTGGTGCTCCTGCCGGCAGGCGGCGCTGTAGAAGCCAATTCCCCGCTCAGGGAAGGCAGCAAGGAAGGAAATGTTCCAAGGTTGCCCTGTGTGTCTCCAGGGCAACAGCCGCCCTGGGGCGGGGCTTGCTGGCAGAGACTCCACCCACCGGGGGGTCTACCCAGCACAGCGCTGGGCAGCAGCGTGGTAGGTGGACCTTCTCAGGCTTTGCAAGTACCATCAGGTGGGAGTGTGACATTTAAGTCGGCAGACGGGTTGGTCCATGGTGGCGGGAGGACAGCCGGCTTGGGCTGTTCATGCTGTGGGGAGATGCTGTCCGGGCTGCTCGCACTGACTGAGATCTGAGGCCCTGGTGGGCTGGGGGCCCAGGAGGGCTATGTAGGGGAATCTGAGCCTGAGGGTCCACCAGTCTGCGGACTGGTTTGTTATCTTTATCCATCCAGCCTGTGGCCTCCAGAGGGCGCTCTGCGAACACTTGTTGAATCAATCACTGGCTTGAGAGCCCTACACAGCCACCGATTTTACAGTCAGCCCAGGGTTTTCTGAGTGTTCTTGTTCCTGAAACTTGTGAGTTGGAAATACTGCTGGTGAGGTACAGAATGGAGGGAAGAAGAACAGAGGACGTTATAGCTGAGAAGAGGACAGGAGTCCCATGCGGGGCGGGCGGGGGTGGCATATGATAGTACGATACCAAATTGCAGTGGTAGGGGTGACAAGAACGCAGTTTCCTGATAGTCTAAGTTGACAATTTCTTACTGCCTTTTTCTCTAGTGCAAAGATAAGTAAATATGTGGTATTCAGGGTAGAATCCTTAGAGATGGTAACCTACCGCCCGTGTTCCATGGACCAGTAAGGTGAGTTACAGACAGGCTGAAGCGACTTGCTCCAGGTCACTGGAGTAAGTAAGGTAGGTCAACCCACGCTGTAACGTAAGTTTCTGGAGTTCCAGTTCTGTGCTCTGCCTCCTTCCCTTCAACAAATATTTCCTGGTACTTCTTTCCTTTAATAGATGTTCGTTAATGATATTCCCAGTATTGCTTCTCTTGGATGGTGGCTGCCTAATCAAGTGTCTGCCCCACATTTCTCAGGTTATCAGGAAGCTGTGGGCCTTTTTCTTCCTCCCCTTTGTCACCTTATTCTAGGGAAAGTGAGCGGTATTTTGATTTTGGGTGCAGAAGGTTCATTGATGATCTATCATTTCTTTCTGACATGTCCAATGTGTCTCTGGGGCAAATAGTTTTCAGTGTAAATTTCATGTTATTGGAGTGAAAAGCAGTACCAATTGCAGAGAATTCTGCAGATGTAACTTTATATGTTTTTTTATAAACACGTGAGTGTTTTTTAAAATGTCACATTGAAAACAGTTCTATGCAGATTGTATCAGACATACAGTACTATGTAACACATTTACATGCCTATGTCCCATGAGGCTATACAGTGCTTACATGACTGTGTCCTGTGCTGTATGCTCAAATGTTCATTTAATGAAACTATTGCCTGGCTGTTGTGGCTCAGTGGATTGAGTGCTGGCCTGCAAACCAAAGGGTAGGCGGTTTGATTCCCAGTCAGGGCACATGCCTGGGTTGCGGGCCAGGTCCCCAGTAGGGGGCACACAAGAGGCAACCACACATTGATGTTTCTCTCCCTCTCTCCTTCCCTTCTCCTCTCTCTAAAAATAAACAAAAATTTGAGCCCTGGCTGGTGTAGCTCAGTGGATTGAGCGCGGGCCTGCGAACCAGACAATCGCGGTTCGATTCCCAGTCAGGGCACATGCCGGGGTTGTAGGCCGGTTCCCTGCAGGCCACTTCCCAGCAGGGGACGCATGAAAGGCAACCATACATTGATGTTTCTCTCCCTCTCTCCTTCCCTTCCCCTCTAAAGATAAATAAATGAAATCTTTAAAAATAAATAAATAAAAATAAAAATAAACAAAAATTTTTAAAAACTAAAAATGAATAAATTTTTTAAAAAAGAAATTATTTATTTTAGGTCCTGTTTCTCTGGTTAGAAATGAGTATTTGCCGAGGTTCCAGGGGCTGACTTCTTTATGCATCCTCCCCACTGTGCCTGTAAAACCAGGGCATATTTATTCAGGGTCCCACCTCTTCCTGGGTATGAATCTGCTTTGTTTGCAGCTCGTGTTAACTTTTGGAAACAGGACCAACAAAATGATTACAAACTTCCTGGTATTATGTCACTGAAGCCTTGCCTGTTTTACTTATTATAGAAGAGTCTGGCTTCTCAAGATCCATTTCAGAACTCCTGATCTGTTGTGGACAAAGGTAGAAGGCTTTTAACCATTACTGGCGAGGACAGGTGCAAAGCCATCCTGAGATGAAAGGAAACGTGTTCACAGTCCAGGGGGAGCGCCCTTCAATCCTGTGGCCGCCACTGAGCACAGGAGTAGGAGAACTGATGAGGGTTAGAAAGAACATTTCAATAGCCCTGGCCTGTGAGCTCAGTGGGTTAGAGCACCAAGGCTCTGGGTTTAATCCCCAGTCAGGGCACAAACGGGAATCAACCAATGAAGGCATGAGTGAGTGGAACAATAAGTCAATGTTTCTCTCTCCCTCTCTAAAATCAATCATTAAAAAAAGGAACATTGCACACATGTGATTAGAAGTATATATGAGATTGGTCCGTCTAGTTATGACATCTAAGTTTGAGAGTAGTTCCTGAAATCAAAGACCACACAGATTCCCTCAGGTCTTCCGTTTGCTGCTTGGCTGGCTTTTCTGAGGCAGCCGTTTCTTTCACCAGCAGGATCCCCTGCCCTACCCATTCAGTGACTTTTAAAGTCATGGATATTTATTTATTATTTAATTTTTTCTCTTGTATTGGTTCTAGAGAGAGGAGATGGAAGGGAGAAAGAGGGAGAGAAACATTGAGGTGAAAGGGAAATATCAATTAGTCGCCTCTTGCACCCGCCCCTAACCAGCAACCCAGGCCTGTGCCCTGACTGGGAGTCAAACCAGCGACTTCCGGTTGGTGGAACAATGCCCAACGAACCGAGTCACACCAGCCAGGGCCACATACGTTTACTGTGAAGTCTCTTTTGCAGATGAAGGTGCAGCCATGATTCAGTGAGTCATTCACATAGTGGTAACAACATGTTAAACACAGAGTGTAACTGTCCGGAAGATTGTCGTCTTCCCCCGTTCTCTTAGAGTTTTCATGCAGGGAGAAGAGAAAACGACCTGTACTTTTACTGCTTGAAAGGCATGTCATCACTTCCTTATTCTATTTGACCTTCTTGGAAGAGGGAAAACGCCCTCTCCCCTGCTGCATATGAATGAAAAAGGAGGAGACAGAACCAAGAGCCAGGGGAACCCTGTCCTGTTACTGTTACTGGAGCTGCCAGAACTTACCTGACCCCTGGATTCTACCGGTGGGTGAACCAGTAAATTACCTTATTGTTTGAGACGCGTCAGAGTTGAGTTTAGTCTTGCAAAATCAAGAGTCCTAAAAGACATGGAAATTGTTAACAACATGAGGATTTGCACATAAATGGATCCTGAAATATGAACTTGGCGGCATAGAGGAAGCAGGATGGAGGGAAGTAATGACTGTCCTGCTCTTAGAATTTGACAGTCTTTGTGATGTAGTGACTGTCACCGGTTGTATCTTGGGACCCACATCATGAAGTGGTTAATACTTAGCACTGGGGGCTTCGCAGGTAGGAAAAAACGTTCAGGTGTTGCAGCATGCTGGCCCCAGCCCTCGTAAGTTTCTAGAACACAAGAGACAGCCTTGGCCTGTGAGGACCTTGATGGTTTTCAAGAACACAGGGCAGTTATTCTGGAGACTGTCCCCCGGCTGGCGTGCGTTGGACGTGATTCATGGCTCGGTTTAGGTTCCTGGTCTTCATGGGGATGGCCAAGAAGTGATGCTGTGCTCTCGCATGGCTTCAGTTTGTTCCGTTACTGATGGGATTCACATCCATCACTTAATTAAGGTCATGTCTGCCAGACTTCCTGACTCTGAAGTTACTTTTGTCCCTCTTTGCCATTAATAAGTGTTCTATGATTTGGTGCAGAGGTACTGTGAAATCATGTCAAATATCCCATTCCTCATCAGATTTTCTATCTGTGTAATGTCAGTGCGGACTCACCGTTTCCTCTTTTATCCAGTGGATTATAATCTTTGTCTGTCAGTGTTTGTTTGGATGCCCCGAGTGTCCCAAATTTGGACAGCGGGAGCCCCTCGGACAGCCTTCTGGGTTGTCCTGGCAGGTTGCCCTCATCCTTGGGCAACTTCCGGGCTTTCTCTGGCCCACGTTCTTCCAGGCTTTTCTTCTGTTTTTCCTGTCCCAGTGCTGAAGTCGGTCGCTTCTCCAAGGAACCCTGCTTCCTCTGAACAGAAAGTGGGTTAGAAGGCAGAGTGAGTCTGGGACTAGGTGTGCTCACCGGTATTTGGGAGTTGCTACTCACAGGCCCTCTCAGTGGGCAGGGGGAGGACATCTCTACATCACACACACACACACACATGCGCGCACACACGTTTACATTCCCAGTGTCTTCCACTTTAAGAACTGGGGGCAAAGGGTAAATGAAACCTAACGGAAGCAGAAGAAAGGAAATAAAGATTAGTGTAGAAATCGATTTACTAGGAAACAGATAATCAGTGAAACTAGAAGCTCATGAGAAAAGGCAAAAATCATTAATATCACCAATACGACGGGGGACCTCACTGCAAATTTCAGTTGGTTGAAGTACAATGAGAGAATATGATGAACTTAATGCCAACAAATTTGACAACTTATGTGAAACAGGCAAACTCCTACCAAAGCTCACTCAAGAAGAAACAGATAACCTGTATAGCCCTATATCTATCATAGAAATTTAATTTATTGTTCTTTCCCATAAATAAACTTTCAGTAGAGAATTCTAAACATGTAAGAGAGAAAAAAATCAGCCCTGGCTGGTGTGGCTCAGTTGGTTGGACTAGTGACCTGGACACCAAAAGTTTGCTGATTCAGTTCCTGGTCAGGGCACATACCTAGGTTGTGGGGCTCGGGTCCCGGTGGAGGTGTGTACAGCAGGCAGCTGATGAATGTTTCTCTCTCTCTTTCTGTCCCTCTTCCTCCACTCTAAAAAAATCTATAAATATATCCTCAGGCAAGGACTAAAAAATAGGAAGAAAAATAATCAACTCTACACAAACTCTTCTAGAAAATTAAAAAAGAGAGAATAGTGTTCAACTCATTCTATGAGGCCAGCAGTGTAATGCTATCAAAGCCACAGAAAATATAAGAACAAAATTAAAGACCAGTATTCCTTATACATAGATGTATCAACTCTTACTAAATTCTGATCCAACAATCTATAAAAATGATTAACACATCACAACCAAGTACAGTTTGTCTCAGAAGTACAAGGTTGGTTAGATTTTGAAAATCAGTCAACATTAATGGTTTATATGAACAGACTGAAAAAGAAAACCCATATGATCCATTCTTAATTTTAAAAAAAACTCAGAAAAATAGGAATTAGAAGGGACCTTCCTCAACCTCATAAACAGCATCTACCATAAACCTACAGCTGACGTATATAATGGGAAAGACAGAATTGTTTCCATCAGATCAGGAGCACAGCAAGACAACCCACTCTACTTCTCTTTAAACTTGTACTGGAGCTTTTTGCCGTGAAATCAGGAAAATATGAAAAATGGCTGGCATCCATAACGAAAAAGAAGTTGCTCTGACTGGTGTGGCTCCGTGGGCTGGGCATCATCCTGCAAATCGAGGGGTCACCAGTTCAATTCCTGGTCAGGAACTGACCAGGGTTCAATGCCTGGGTTGCGGGCCAGGTCCCCAGTTTGGGGCATGCAAGAGGCAACCAATGGATGCTTCTCTCGCACATGGATGTTTCTCTCCTCTTTCTCCCTTTCTCCCCCTCTCTAAAAATAAATACTTTTTTAAAAAGAACTAATCTGTCTTTATTTGCAGATGACATAATTTATGTAGATGATCCCGAGGAATCTACAACAAAACTATTGTGAGCTTAGCAAGGTTTCAGGATACAAAGTATCCTGGCTGGTGTGGCTCAGTGGACTGAGTGCAGTGTGGCAGAAGAGGGAAGCACCTGTTCAAACTGACCTACAAACATAACCTAATCAGAATGGGGTATTCCCTACTTTGCCTTTCAGTAGGGTGTCAACCTTCTCGAACTTGGGTTTCCTTACCTGTAACAATACAGCACTACCTACGGCTTATTTGTCCCCCACTGGTGCCAGACGTCATATTCATAAGGATAATCACAGCCCTGGCTGGGTAGGTCAGCTGGTGGAGTGTCGTACCCACGTGCCAGCGTTTCCAGTTCCATCCCTGGTCTGGGCACATACAAGTATCAGCCAATGAGTGCATGGGTGGGTGGAACAGCAGATCAGTGTTTCTCTCTCTCTGTCTAAAATCAATCAATAAAAAATGAGAATAATTATGACTTAAAGAAAACCCCTAATCATGTTAAAACGCAGCCCTGGGGACAAGCCCGGGGCCGGTTCTATGTCTTAATCTCTCTATTCTCATAACCAGTTGGAGATCTTGGAGACAGTCACAAAAATATTCGTGCTCTCCCTTCCTACCCTCAGCACAGTGGCCTCCCAGCCTGCTTGTACCCATAACCAAATCAGATGAGATGTAGGGATAAAGAAGAAACAAAGAGCTTTAGAACTAGAAAAAAAATAATGTTTTGCTATTGAATAAACTGCTGCTATGCAGTAAATGCTTCTGAAAAGTGCACATTACTTGAATTTCCCAAGGAGTACAATATCGATTTCATAGAGAGGTTTCCTCCTACACCTTGCTTCAGCAAAGTGTCTTAGTGAACCCGTTGCACTTGTCCCACATCTGGGTAAATGGTGCTCTCGTTCCTCTCAGTTTAGGAAGGATTGATAGGAAACTACCACGAATGACAAAAAAATTGTGGTTGGACTCGATCTTTTTGACCTGTTCTTTAAAATTATATTGAACAGTTCCATATTCTACATTCATAGCATTCTAACAAATCACTTAATGTGTACTGTGGCATTAAGTTATACCACAGTATAACTTAAATGTCTTTCTGCCCTACAGAAATGAGGGGAAATTACAGGTTCACGCAGCTCAATAAGAATGTATTAAATTAAAATTTTCTAATTGCTAAAGGCTGTGAGAGCCCGGCTTTCTTTCTTCCTCACTTGATAATCTGTATACATAGAAAGATGCTCCTGGACTCTCGAGGGTCCGCTCGCCCCATTCTTCTATAACTCTGCAGGCATACTGACCCTAGGCATTAAAGAAATATCAAGCCCTAATACATATCACAGCCTTGACATTCAAAAATCATTAGCTTAACCTAGTTTTCTTCTAAGTTGTCAGGAGGGAAAAACCTCAAGGTTATATTTAGGCTTTTGTAAACCCCTAGGCTTGCCCATCTGATATTTCAGTTTTGCAGAAAATAACGAGAGAAATAAATAACATGAGGCAAAGTTTAGACACGCATTTGATGGCATATTCACAGATGAAACCACGGAGAGAAGCTTCTCTGAATCCCAATTCTGGATTCCCTTAATTGCATGCTCATCCCCTCTCCAAGCCCAGTATATGTTGTAACCTAGGAAAGAAATGCTTTTACTTGCTTAAGGAGAAAAAACGAAAACTAGAAGCCCACGAGAAGAGTATCTCGTTCTCTTCTTATCAACAGACTGGTTCGGATCCCTCTGCCTCTGCCTCTAGGAATCCCAGTGGGCCCAGCTGACAGCCCCTCTTTCCACCGCTCTTCTGAGGACACGTGTTCTTCCTGCCAAGCCCAGAGGCCTTCCCCAGCTCCGCCCTGTGCCTATTTCTGGGCCCCACCCACCTCGCCGCCGCCCAATCACATCAAGGACCCCGCCTCCATGGCACTAGCCAGCCGCCTTTGTTCTCCCTCTCTCCCTCTTTCAGCCTGTGCGCTCCCGGCAAACCGAGTGGCAGCTGCTGATTGGTGGCCGCGGCACAGCGAATCAGAAGGGGGCACCTCAGGTTTGGGACTCGGGGCTTTAAACGCTGGAGCCGCGGGGCGCGCGGAGGAGGCTGGGGAGGAGGGCGGTGCGACTGTGGTGGGACGCACAGCGAGGCTGCGAGGCGCACGCGGCTCGGGTCCTGGAACGGGCTGGGATTGGCCGGCCCTCGGCTGCCCTTGCCCCCAGCCAATCACCTGCGACGACTTCCTGGGGGGGTTACTTTTGGTCTCTTGCGTTTCGACCGCCAGAGCAGATCCCCCAGGTCCCGGGTAGTTCAGGGGCTGCCGGCGACTGGAGGAAGCGCTCCTACCGCCGTGATGAGGCCGGGGAAAGCTTGTCTGCTGGTCCTGCTCCTGGCGCTGACCCAGCTGCTGGCCGTGGCGAAGGCCGGGGAGGTGGACGGAGGTGAGCGGCTGAGCGGTGGGCCGGGCCTGCGGGCTGGAGAGCTCGGCGCGACACCGGGAATGGGTGCGACCTGGGACTAGTGGGTTCCGCGAGGAGCCTCTCCAGGACCGATACCAGTGCTAACTTGCTGGAGTTTAAGGGGCGGTGGCAGGTGGCCAGCATCATATAGATTCTGGGAGACCAGCGCGGTGAAGGGGCCTGCCTGGGCGGCTGCGGGGCCTCTTTGCAAGCCCCGTGCCACAGAGGTTTGGACCGGACAGGGTGCAAAGTGGCTTCTGTGCAATTGGCTCCTTCGTTCTGATTCTGCTCCGATTTTCCTGAGGTCCATGTTTCCGAGGAGAAGAGTTGGGGAATTGTTTAAAATTTCCAGGAGAACGCGCCCAGGGAGTGTGAAGGAGACGGAGCCACTGATTTTCAAACAGGATTCATAGGAGTCTGGGGACCGGCGGGCAGCAAGCATTTTACTTAAAAAAAAAAAAAAAGAAAAAATGTACATTTGGAAATAAGTACCCTAAGGGTTCCGATTTGAGGGATAAAGGGATGGCTTGGTTTGCATCTTTTCAAATCCGGAGGTACCAGTCCCTCAGGGAGCACTTATTGAGCACCTAGTATGTGCCAGTCACTGCTCCTGGGTTCCGGGGGGCCAAGAATGGGGCATGTAGTCTCTGCCCAAGAAGCGCCCGCCCTGGCAGAAACCTAGGACTGCTACTAGTCATTGGTCCTGCACTTTGCTTTGAAATCAGCCAGCTCAGAACAAGTGGATAAGAGGACTTTGATAATTAGAACGTACAAGGCACGAAAAGAAAGCTACTCCTAGAGAACAGGGCATCCTGTTACTGGTCTCAGCTTTCCTCCTTGCTGGTCTTTCTCCTGATGACTAGTTTTTTTCTTTTTTTTTTCCCTAGTGAGTTTGTTTCAGCGTAATAACACCCCTTTTCGAATATTAGTGTGTAGGAAAGTTTGAACTTTATACTCTTTCAAGCATATTGAGTAACTTCCCTGGGGTCACTGAATGGAGAAGCTTTACCCAAATAGAAAATGAAGTAAAAGCCAGCACCTAGTAGAAAAAAACACCTGCGGAAAGTGACTAGATAGAAGCGTGGCTTTACGAATGTGACTTGGGACCTTTACCCAAATCATCTGGTGCTTATTTAAACACAGAGTCCCAAAATATACCTAAGCAGAAGTAGCAGAGAGAGAGAGAGAGAGAGAGAGAGAGTGTGTGTGTGTGTGTGTGTGTGTGTTTGGCTGGGGACATTTTAAACAAGTTCTTCATGGTTCATAGATGGAATAAACTTTGAGAGGCACATTCACATTTAAGTTTGAGGACCAGTGGAGATGGAGGATACTTTTTGGAATGTAGCTACAAAGTAAAAATCACTTGGCCATCAAGGGCTACTGATAACCAGCACATTTATCATTTGGCTCCCAGGTCACTAAAGCAGTGGGGGCCCTGGGAGGCAGTTGCCTCTGGGCCGAGCCCCGGAACTCCAGAGTTGTCTAGGCCAAGGCAGGTCTCCCACCTTCGTCCTCTGGGGTGGGCTGGCGCTTCTAGCCTTTGTCTGGACTCCCTCCCGTCCTTCTGGCATCCCTGGCCCTTTTGTTTCACTGCCTGCCAGGGATAAGACTTATCCTGTGGATGCAGTTTAGGGCTGCATTTTCCTCTGCCCCCAAGGTTCCAAGTCTGCAAGGCTTTTAGTGGTGCTTGTCTCTTTCCTACATTGTAGATTCAAACGTCACAGTAGTGCCTGGGCTCTAAATGTCCCCTGGGAATGCAGTTACTAAACAGCGTCAGCGCTGATGACTTAGCCTCAGTTTGCAGGCCTTTCCTGTCTCAGATTAGAAGTCACCGATACTCTTCGTGTCTTTCCAGCCAACAGAGTGAAGGAAAATATTTTGATGCCGGCTTTTATTTGGGATTGGTTTAGGTTCTTTAAAAGTAAGTAGAATGAAAATAGTTACAAGATTCTCTAATAGATGTCCCCATGCCCCTTACCTGAGCTGCTTTGTCCTTGTGCTGAGGAAGATGGCACCCTTCCACTAGGTGCTGGGAAGCTATGGGTGTGTTTTCATCCAAGAACACCCAACTTTATTATGGTTTTTGTTCTCACCTTTTTAGAAATATCTATTTTATTGATTATGCTATTACAGTTGTCCGGGTGTTTCCCTTTGCCCTCCTCCACCCAGCACCCCCCTCCCCTCCAGCAGTCCCCCACTTAGTTCATGTCCATGGATCTCACATGTGAGTTCTTTGGCTTCTCCGTTTCCTATACTGTTCTTAACATCCCCCTGCCTCTTCTGTACCTACGAATTTGTACTTAACCCCTGCACCTTCTCCCCCATTCTCTCCCTTTCCTCTCCCAACTGGTAACCATTCAAATGATCTCCGCATCTGTGATTGTATTCCTGTTCTGGTCGTTTGCTTAGTTTGTTTTTTAGATTCAGTGTTGATAGCTGTGAATTTATTGCCACTTTAATGTTTATAGTTTTCATCTTTTTCTTAAATAAGTCCCTTTAACATTTCATATAATAATGGCTTGGAGGTGATGAACTGCTTTAGCTTTACCTTATCTGGGAGCTTTACCCTTCAATTCTGATTGATATCTTTGCTGGGCAGAGTAATCCAGGTTGTAAGTCCTTGCTTTTCATCACTTTGAGTGCTTCTCGCCAGTCCCTTCTGGCCTGCAAAGTTTGTTTTGAGAAATCAGCTGACAGTCTTATGGGAAACTCCTTTGTAGATGACTCTGCTTCTCTCTTGCTGCTTTTAAGATTCTCTTCATCGTTAACCTTTGGCATCTTCATTGTGATGTGTCTTGATGTGGTCCTCTTTGTGTGCATCTTGTTTGGGACTCTCTGCTTCCTGGAGTTGCATGTCCACTCGCTTCACCAAGTTAGGGAGGTTTCCTTTACTATTTTTTCAAATAAGTTTTCAATTTCGTGCTCTTTCTCTTTTTCCTCCTGAGACCCGTGTGATTCGAATGTTGGAGCGCTTGAAGTTGTCCCAGAGGCTCCTTACACTGCCCTTGTTTGTTTGCATTCTTTCTCCTTCTTGCTGTTCCAATTGAATGTTTTTTCTTCCAAATCATTAATTTGAACCTCGGTTTCCTCCCCTCCACTGTTGTTTAGTTCTTTTTCTGGAATTTTTACCTCTTCTTCCATTTGGGCCATATGTCTTTGGCTCCTCATTTTTGGCAGCCTCCCTGTGTTGGTTACTATGTATTAGATGTGCCCTGGCCCCATTTCTTAGCAGCGTGGTGGAATGTAGAGAAACACACCTTTAGTTGGATGGGGCAGAGCCTTCGATAATTTCAGGGCGAGGCAGCCTGTGTGAACCAGGTTGATGGGGTCTCAGGTATGGTACTGCCGTTCTGTGGCTGTGAGGTGGGGGAGGACTCTGAAAAGGCGGTCGCTGCTCCCTGGCCTCTGGAGTGTTGTTCAGGAGGATCCCGTCACCCTCACGCCAGACACTTCGGTTCTTCCCCATGTGCCACTGGTGCCCTTCCAGCTGCTGCCCTGGTGCTGGAGCCCACAGGCTGTGAGTCTGAGTAAGTCCTAAGTCTGTTACAGGCCCTTTAAGAGCAGACACCTGAGAATCCCAGTTTCTTCCATAGCCTCCCCAACCCTCACTGGTTTTAAAACCAGAAGTTATGGGGACTTATCTCCCTGGCACTGGAACCCTGGGCTGGGTGGTCTGGTGTGGGAGTGGGATCCCTCATTCGCAAGATACCACTCCCGATTTTTATGTGAGACCAGCCCATTCCAAGTCTCTGCCCCTCCTACCTAAGTGAATGTGGCTTCTTAATTCTTTGGTTGTCAGACTTCCTGTAGAGCTCGATTTTCTGACAATTCTGGGTAATAGTTCTGTGGTTTAGTTGTGATTTTTGCCTTGGTTGTGCAAAGGGATGAGCTGTGTTTACTGATGCCTCCATCTTGACCGGAAGTCTGAGAACATCTGACTTTAAAAGTAAAGCCCCATGGCCCTGGCTGGTGTAGCTCAGTGGATTGAGCTTGGGCCTGCGAACCACACGATCACGGTTTGATTCCCAGTCAGGGCACATGCTTGGGTTGCAGGCTGCTTCGCTGAAAACCAGTTCCCAGCAGGGGACGCATGAAAGGCAACCATACATCGATGTTCCTCTCCCTCTCTCATCCCCTCTAAAGATAAATAAATAAATCTTTTAAAAATAAATAAATAAAAGTAAAGCCCCATGAAGAGTGGTCTCCCCATGAAAAATGTGGGGGCTTTCTCTGCAGGGAACTGTGGGTTTCTAGTAGGAAGGAGCGTAGAGCCAGCACCTTCTCCAGTGGCACCTTCTCCAGTGGCAGAGGAATTGGTCTTTATCAAGAAATGAGTTACCCTCAGCTCTGGCCTGTGGTAACTCACAGATGCCCATTTCATCACGACAGCCCCCCCACACACACGAGTGCTCACGGACCACGTCAGGCCCAGTGTGTTAAAGGAGCTTTGCTCTTCCTTTTTGTAAAATTCTCCTTATTCCAGTGTGTTGGGTGGGTTACGAAGTCCCTCTCCCTCCCCTGGCTGTGTTTCTGTCTGCTCTTTCTCCAGTCTTTCCATCTGTCTGCAAGTAAATCTGACTGGGCAGAGCAGCCAGGCAGAGAGAGTGGACATGTGTGCATGAGTCCCGCCTAACTGGCCACAGCAGTCATCCAGCCCAAGTGAGCGCCCAGACCCGGGCAGGGTGGACAGTGCCTCCTAGGTGCCCCAGCTGGAGCAGAGACGATGGCCAACCCCCCCTGCACTGTCCAGCCCCCAGCTTTGCAGCCCTCAGGCAGGTCATTTGTGCAGGACTGGAGAGTGAGGTTGTCTTCCCCAGCATCCTCTCTCCTTCCCGTCTGGGAAGCCTTGTTCTTGGTGCTGCCCAGTGACATTGCTGGGGCCCTGGGGCCTCTGCAGGCCTGTCCACCCGACAGGGTTCCTGCGTGGAGGAGGGGAGTGGTGGGGGGGCCAGGGGAAGGGGTGTTGGAGAGCCGTGGCCCGAGTACAGGGCCTGGGCGGGGAGGAAAGCAGAGGGCAGGGGAGGGATCTTGTCCCAAGAAACATGGACACCTGCTCGGTTCGTTCCTCTCAAATGGGTGGGTTTTCTTTGGGGGTGTAGAGCTGTTTCTCTCTCCCTCCACAAAGGGATGTGAACGTCAGGAAAAAGCAGTGAGGTGTTTAAAGGGACATGGTTGAGGAAAGTGGCTGGAGGGGTGGGGGTTTGATTTGCTTTAGGTGACTTCTCTGCAGATTGTTCGGTTTTAATGATAATGAACAAGGCTCCCCCCACCCCCAGACCAGTTCCCTGGCCCCTCTGAGCAGCTGCAGGGCCAGCCTTGAAGTAGGTGGGGGAAGATTAGTTAGGGGCAGGGTGGGGCTGGGCCAGTGCCAGGGGTTCGAGGGTCCCAGGAGCAGGTTTTCATGCCCCGACCTCACCCTCAGCCCCAGACTTGGTAACTGTCAGCCTCGCTTCATCTCCTGGGAAGCATCTCCAAACACGAATAACTGGCCCCTGGAAATGTTCTGGCTTCAGAGTTAATGAAATCCTCACACAAGCTGCTCTGGTCAGGTGCCCTTCCTGGTGTGAGCAAAGCTGAAGGACCTGGGGAATGAGAACCACAGTCCCACGACGCCTGGTGTCCATAGTTGTGGGGAAAAAAATTAACCCGGAGCTCGGCCTGGTGGGAACTATATGTGAGGTGTTTCTGAAGTGCGGGTCAGGGCTGAGCTGAGCCTGGCTGCAGGGCAGGGCCTGGGGAGACTGCAGGGCGGGGCTGAGGGTTCCTGGGTCAGATCTCAGTGCAGAGCAGGCCGAGCTGACGCTTGGTTGTCTGCGTTCTGGCAGGAGGCATGCCCAGGGGCCTGTGGGTGCGACCTCTGGGGAGGGGGCGCTCCTGCGGGGCATTTAGACTTTAAATTCTAGGTCTGGTTTTCAAACATCTTTTAAGCATGGTACAACCACCCAATTCCCAGGCTTAGAGCAGTAGTTCTGGGGGGGGGGGGCAAGTCTGGATGTCACCACCGTGTCTGGTGGTGGCTCCCAGGGACCACTCAGGACTGGGGTGGCACATTTTGAAGGGTTGATGTGACAGGAAGATTTTTGAGGAGAGTCGGCCAGTTTCCTAACCAGTCTGGGTGTTTTGCACTCAGATTCTAATAAAGAAGACGCCCTTGAGGAGGAAGAAGAGGAAGAGGAAGATGAGGAGGAGGAGGAGGATGACTTGGAAGTTAAGGAAGAAAACGGTGTCTTGATCCTAAACGACGCGAACTTCGATAACTTTGTGGCTGACAAAGATACGGTGCTGCTGGAGTTCTACGCCCCTTGGTAAGGTAGGGGCCTGCGCGGGTCGCCTGCGCGGGTCCCCTGCTCGCCTGCCAGAGCCCTGCAGGGTGGGCGTGGCTGGGAGCAGGGGCATAATTAGCCGCAGGTGGAGGGCCGCCAGGAGCTCAGCGCCCCGCCAGTTTGCATGGAGCAGCAGCCGGCCAGCCCTTACAGAATGCGGTCCCCAGTGATTTAAAATAGGAACTTGTCCTCTGATGGTGACAGCTGGGGAAGCGGCTGGCGTTTCACAAGTTATGGTGACACGGAAACCCGCGTTGGTAACAGGCATCCGACCCATCTCAAGGCCACCCACCCCCCTTCTGCGGCATTAGGGTGGCTGCCCTGACACCCCGCCCCTCCCCTGTCTCACCCTCAGACCGTGGTGCCTGCGTGGGTGGCCACCGGTGTGCTCCTCCCGCCCGCTCTCCTCCGCGGTCTCACAACCCCTTCTTCCCCTTCCCCCACCCCCTGCTTCACTTTGGAGACAGTAGTCAAAATGTACATGTGTGTCTAGTGCTTGATGTTCCAACATAGTATATGGTGTTTTAAAAGAATATTTATTGTTATTTTTAGAGAGGGGGGAAGGGAGGGAGAAAGGAGGAAAGAAACATCAGTGTGAGAGAGAATCATGGATCAGTGGCCTCGCCCACACGCCCTGACCAGGGGCTGAATCCACAGCCCAGGCACATGCCCTGACCAGGAAGTGAACCCCGACCTTTCAGTTTATGTGCAGGGGTGTTCAGCACGCAGGCCAACACAAAATTGTAAATTTACTTAAAACCTTTTTTTTTTGCTCTACTGTTTTCATTAGTGTTTGTGTATTTAATGTGTGCCCCAAGACAACTCTCCTTCCACTGTGGCCCAGACATGCCAGAAGGTTGGATGCCCCTGGTATGAGAAAATGCCCAACCTACCAAGCCACACCGGCCAGGGCAAACTTAATTTTTTTAAAAAATTTACTGAGGCAGTGGGAAGAGGGAGAGAGGAAGGGTTTATTGGTTGATTTGTCGTTCCACTTAATGTAAGCGTTCATTGGTTGATTCTTGCATGTGCCCCGACCGGGGATCCAACCCACAGCCTTGGTGCATCGACCGGCGCTCCAACCCACTGACCCACCTGGCCAGGACAGTGTTCAAACTTTTAGTCTCGGGATCCCTTAACACTTAAACTTTGAGGACCCCAAATAGCTTTCATGTGGATCATGTTTATCAGTACTTAGCACATTAGAAATTAAGGCTGAGAAGTTTTTTTAAACTTTTTTAAAAGATTTCATTTATTTTTAGACGGAGGGAAGGAGAAAGAGGGAGAGAAACACCAATGTGTGGTTGCCTCTCATGGGCCCCTACCAGGGACCTGGCCTGCAACCCAGGCATGTGCCCTGACTGGGAATCGAACCAGAAACCCTTTGGTTCACAGGCTGGTGCCCAATCTGCTGAGCCATCCCAGCCAGAGCTAAAACTGAGAAGTTTAAAAAAAAGTACTTGTTTTTGTGTAACAGTGACTCACTACAGGTCAACATCAGAATGCTGATGTCACTGTGAGTTGTAGCCTCGGGAAAACTCCACTGTACACTTCTAAGAGAATGAGTGAAAAAGACGAAAAATGTTTGTCTGGAGTTTTTAAAAGATTTTATTCATTTTTAGAGAGCGGGGAAGGGAGGGAAATAGAGGGAGAGAAAAGAGAAACATCAATGTGTGGTTGCCTCTCAGGCGCCCCCTACTGGGGTCCTGGCCATAACCCAGGCATGTGCCCTGATGGGGCATGGAACCAGAGACCCTTGGGTTGCAGACCGACGCTCAATCCACTGAGCCACACCAGCCAGGGCACATGAAAATGTTTTTGTAGAGTTTCACCTCCCGGGTCCTTCACGAGAGGTCTCTGGACCGAACTTTGAGAAATGTATGGATGAGAAAAAAAGGCTCAGAGACACTGAAAGAATGTGCCCAAAGCAGAGCGGGAGGTCGAACCCAGGCCTGTTGGACTTCCAGCCACCTGGGCCTTCCCGTCACGTCTGCTCCTAACTGCAGACCTCGCCCGTCCCGATGCCCCGTTTCTGTGTGTGTGGCTGGAGTGAAGCCACTACAGGTATCGTTAATGTGCTTTTCGTTCCCCGAACCAAACTCTTAGGTGCGGACACTGCAAGCAGTTTGCTCCAGAATATGAAAAAATCGCCAGTACCTTGAAGGAGAACGACCCTCCTGTTCCTGTTGCTAAGATTGATGCGACCTCAGAGTCCACGCTGGCCAGCAGGTTTGATGTGAGTGGCTACCCCACCATCAAGATCCTCAAGAAGGGGCAGGCTGTGGACTACGAGGGCTCCAGGACCCAGGAAGGTGAGCGGTGCCTCGCTGCTAGGAGGAGTCGGGGCCAGGCCTCTCTCCCCCAGGGAGGGAGTTTGGGTACCAGAAAGGACTGGGAGTGCCCTCTGGGGTCAGCGGCTTCTGGGGATGCTCCTTGCTGGGATGCTCAAGGTGACTGAGATAAAAATGACCTTGTGTTTACATGGGAAGGGTATCTTATAAGAGTTGGAGCTTCTCCTTGGTATTCTGGAGCTGCAATTTTTATTTTATTTTATTTTTTGAGGGCAAGGGAGGGAGAAAGAGAGGGAGAGAAACATCGATTGGTTGCTTGTAACACACCTCCGAGTGGTGACCTGGCCTGCAGCCCAGGCATGTGCCCCGACTGGGAATTGAACTGGCGATCTCGTAGTTCGTAGGCTGGCGTTCAGTTCCCTGAGCTACACCAGCCAGGGCTCCACAAGGTTTTTTAAAACACGCAGTACCCGACTGTTCAGTCAGGGGCACTGACCTCTTTTCCCTTAGGTTGTCAAATTAAAAAATGACAACAGCCAACACAACAATAGCCATCTGGTGTGAAGGAGTCAAAATTATACCTTTTTTTTTGTTTGATCAGATGGGCAAAAAAGGGATATTTTTTGGTGTGCTGCAGAATTTTAGTAGTTTTTGTGCCATGGGACAAAAAAGGTTGACAACTGCTTCTTCCAGAGCCACAGCTCTCAACCTTCAGCCTGCCTCAGGGCCAGCAGAGCGGGGTCAGGGCGTCATGGGGACTTCACGGAGCCCTGTGTCCAGTGTCCCTCTCCGGTAGTGTCAGGTCAGGCTCAGTGACACACATTTCTTACGAGCAGCCCTGGGTGTGACGCTTCAGACCCAAGCCCCACACTGAGACCGGTGGCGTGGGCAGCCAGCCAGTGGCTCTCTGAAACCAGGCCGGGGTGTCCCTGCCTACTTCCGTTAAGCCTTGAGTGACTTTATTATACGAACGAAGAGATAAAATTGTGGTGTATCCTTTAGGAAGAGCGCATCTCTTCGAGTCACTTCTGAAAGGCTGCATTCCGTCTCCCATTCCCAGGGGCGGAGCGGTAGCAGGACCGGGCAGGGTTTGCTCTCTCGGCTGTGCACCAGCCCTGTGTCCAGAACAAGTGCCTGCCCCTGGTCGGGCCTGGAGTCGCAGCAGGGATGAGAAGTCACTTGGACTGGGTCTCAGAGTTCCTTCCAGTGGTGCGAGTCTGTCCTGAGACCCTTCGACACGGGCGGCCACTGTGGCTGCGCAGACAGAGGTGCTGGCACCCGTTCATTTGCACTGAGTCTTGCTCCCCACTGTCTTCCAGTCAGAGCGTGCGTTTTGTGGGCTCCTCGCCACCCTGACTGGTAATGCGGCTGCCTGGCAGGAAGGTGGCAGCTGCAGCGGGTTCGTCCTGTGTCCTTCAGAGATGCTTTGTACACGTCCATGCTGGGGTGTGTGGGGGGGGGGCGTTAAGTATTTTATTGATTTTAGAGGAGAAAGGAGGGAGAAAGAGAGGGAGAGAAACACCGATGTGTGGTTGCCTCTCATGCACCCCCTACTGGGGACCTGGCCCACAACCCAGGCATGTGCCCTGACTGGGAATCGAACCAGCGACCCTTTGGTTCTCAGGCTGGTAGTCAGTCTACTGAGCTGTGCCAGCCAGGGCCGTTAGCAGATCTTAAATGCCATCTATACCCTCTTGTTTTTACTTAACATGTCTTAGCCGTGTTGGTGTGCAGGGAACTTAATCTGAAAGGAGACGGACAACAGTGTGCTGTGTTTTGGGAAAGTAAACAGGCTTGTATATTTGGAGTTCTGTGGTCAGTGTTTGACTAGAGGGATGGCCCGGTCGATGCCCGGCTGGGAATCTGGAGAGCGGTGTTTGCCAAGGGGGCCCCGTGGCTCCTGTGAGTGCGTCTTAATGAACGGGCCTCCCTGTGGTGACCCACGCGGGCTCTGGGCATGTCCAGGGCAGGTGGTTCTTGCCGTGGGCGTGCATTCCAGTCTGAGAGCTTGTGCTGCGTGGAAGTGGCTCTCACCTGGTCCTTTGTGGGCGCCGCAGCCAAAAAACAGGAAAGGAAGTGTGAACAGTTTGCTACCGCTGCTCCCGAGAACCACTTGAAAGATGGTTTGTGAGAATATGCTGGCCGCCTTCTGTATGTGCCCTGACTGGGAAACGAACCTGCAGTCTTTCAGTGTGTGGGAAGACATTCCAACTGCAAACAGGCCTCTTTGTAACGTGACACGGATGCAGCCTCAGTGGTGCGGGAGCTGCCACTCTGTTCGTTTCCCTCGACTTCTGCATGTTTTATGATGCTATAGTGCGCTAGTGCTGGATGTGCACGTGTTAGGGGGCGCCCCCCCAAACGTCTGGTCAGTGCATGGGGTCAGAGCACGGACGGGGCCTCCTGGGGCCCGCGTGCAGTCAGCACCGTGGTCTGGGGAGAACTGAGCCTCATGCATCAGGCTGGTCTCGGGCTGCAGAGAGAGGTCTGCCTGTGCTCAGTCTCACTGCGTTTCTTTCAGAAATTATCGCCAAGGTCAAAGAGGTCTCCCAGCCCAACTGGACGCCTCCCCCCGAAGTCACGCTTGTGCTGACCACAGACAACTTTGATGAGGTGGTGAATGACGCAGACATCATCCTGGTGGAGTTTTATGCCCCGTGGTAAGATGGTTGTGGTCCCAAGTCACTCAGATGTGCGTCGGTGCCTGTATTGGGCACCCTGCTGGCACTGGGTGGGTGGCAGAGATGGCGGAGAGCAAGGTGGGGGCTGCTGAGTGTGGGGAGGCCATGTCGTGCTGGCTCCCCTTGGGGCCCTGGCTCAGCGCCCTCAGCAGCAGACGTGTGGGGGTTGGCAGGGCCTCACCGGGTTGTTGGGAAACCCTGTGTCTCTGGGAGGCCGCATCTGGGTCGGGTCAGGCCCCTGACACAGTGGCTTCCCTGGGCAGGTGCGGGCACTGCAAGAAGCTGGCCCCTGAGTACGAGAAGGCCGCCAAGGAGCTGAGCAAGCGCTCTCCCCCAATCCCCCTGGCCAAGGTCGATGCCACCGCGGAAACGGACCTGGCCAAGAGGTTCGATGTCTCCAGCTACCCCACGCTGAAGATCTTCCGCAAGGGAAAGCCCTTCGAATACAACGGCCCAAGGGAGAAATACGGTAGGGCCGCTGGGTGGAGCGGGCCAGCTCCTCGGCTTGGGCAGGCGGGCAGCGCGGGGCGCCCAGAGCCCCAGCCCCTCCTCAGGCCAGTGCTCTGCCCGCAGGGATCGTGGACTACATGATCGAGCAGTCCGGGCCACCCTCCAAGGAGGTTCTGGCCCTGAAGCAGGTCCAGGAGTTCCTCAGAGACGGAGACGACGTCATCATCGTGGGGGTCTTCCAGGCGCAGAGCGACCCAGCCTACCAGCTGTACCAGGACGCCGGTGAGCCTGGCCCTCTGCACCGGGCGGCACGCCGCCAGGGGGCCCGCTGCTTTTGCACCGCGGCCCCGGGCGTCGACTTCGGGGTGGCCTGATGCATCACTGCAGTGCCTGGGGGGACAGGCTTTGTGTTCGCACAGGTCAGCGGGTGGAGGCTAGTTCCTACCCTGGCCCTGACGGAGCACAGAGAGCTGGGAGGGCACAGTTGAGTTCACCCAAGTTCATGGTCACGCTCCCTCACCTTCCAGGGTCCCCTTCCCAAAGCCAGCCCCTCTTCAAGGTGGGGGGGCTCTTCACTAGAAGGTGGGGGTTGGTATCAGACCTGAGCACGAGCCCCGGCTCTGCCAGCTCTCAGCCCTGTGGCGGACCACAGGCAGGGCCTGATGGGCCTGCTGTTCTCCTGCCCACCAAGGTGGTCTCGTCCACCTTAAAGGTCGTCACGTTCACTGAGGTGACACAGACGAGGCGCCTGGCCCAGTGCCTGGTAGTACTAATGAGCACCTGTGGGGCTAGACCAGCTAATCTGAGAGGCGACACTCCTGGGACTGGCTATCGGTCCTGTGGGGGCCGGGCACTGGTCTGGGCGGGGGTGCTTGCCATCCTGGACGGTCCCCGGCTCATGAAAAGAAACGGTTCCTTCAGGGACACCAGGGATCCCCGGCACCCGCACCAGAAACGGCCGGTAGAGGGCTGACCACAACCTTCTACGTGCCTGGCTGGCCACTTGGTGTGGACAGTGGGGCTCAGTCCCCTTCGTGCTTCCTTGGTGTTTATTGATTGGGCCACCCCGTCTCCCACTCCCAACTCATCAGGAAGCATCTTGCAGAGGGCACCCCAGACCCACGCCCCATGTGGGTGTGGGCCCCTCCCGGGGGTGGGAGGGGTGGTCTGTGATGACCCGGGCCTGGGGCAGCGGGCCGCCAGTCTGGGTGCCGCGCTTTGGGTCGGACCCGTGGCCCGGCCAGGCTAGGCTTCGGGCAGAGGTGGGAGGCACCAAGCGTGGTGTGCTGGCCTGCGCTGGCCCATGGCCTGCAGGCTGCGTGGAAGGAGCGAGCAGCCCCGGGGATGCAGGGCGGTCTGCGGAAATGGAGAAGTGAGTCCGTGAACATGGTGGGGCGGCTGGCAGAGGCCTGGAGGCAAATCTCTCTCCTCGCCTGTGGCTGGCTGTTAACGCGGGCGGCACCCAGAGGCTTAAACAGGGTGGGGACTTAGCCTGCGAGTGGCTTCCGCGTGGGCAGCCTCTCCTGACCCTCACAGTGGCCTATGTGATAAATTCTCCTGTTCCTACCAAGGACGACTGAGGCTCAGGCCAGTGAATCACCAACAGTTAGCAGGTTGCAGAATTACGAATTGAACCCAGGTCTGAGTCCAAAAGCCATGGCTTCTCTGGGCCGCCTCCCGCAATCCTGTGGTGTGCTGCCCGGCTCGGGGGTCTGGGTACTGTGGTGAGGACAGAGTAGAGGACATACCTCCACCCTGAGTGGAGGGTGACTGCGAGGTCACCCCAGGTGGAGGGCAGGGACGACACATGGGCCCCGTCTGGTTTGGTGGCTTTATTGGAGCATGGCCGTACTCTCTTGTGCACACGTGGTCCAGCTGTTTGCACACGGAGCACGCCCTCGAGTGCTCATGGCAGTGTGGCCACAAAGCCCAGGACGCTCACTGTCTGGTCCTTTCTGGGAAAAGTCCGCCAGTCGGGGCTTATCTCAGGAGGTTGACAGGATTTAAATGCAGTGTGTACAGTAAAGGAACCGCACTCGGGGCCCTGCCACCTGGAGGAGGCGCTCGGCTGGGGCAGGCCCACACCAAGTTTTAAAATCCAACATTTAAGCTCGAGGCGTTGTCTGCACAGACCTCACGGTGGCCATCACAGTTTTTCAGGCATTCGCTGTGGTTGTTGTGGGCCAGGAGTTAAATCTGGATCATTAAGCAATTTAATAAGTTGTGTATTTATCATTCTGTTCGTTTTTCAGCCAACAACCTGAGAGAAGATTATAAATTCTACCACACTTTCAGCACTGAAATCGCAAAGTTCTTGAAAGCCTCCCCTGGCAAGTTGGTCATGATGCAGCCTGAGAAATTCCAGTCCAAATACGAGCCCAAGAGCAACATGATGGACATCCAGGTGGGTAAGGGCGCTCGGGCCTCGACGGGCCCTCTGCAGAGCCAGACCCCGGGCGTCCGACGGGCAGGAGGACCGTGGTGGTGCCACCAGGGGCTTTGCAGCGGGGAGGTTTCCCTCCCTGAGGCCCTGGCCCCGCGAGGGCTCCACCCCTCATGCTGCTCTCAGCCTCCTGGCACCAGCCTCCCTCGGGTGCCACCCCTCCGCGGGGTCTGCGTTGCTCCTACCAGGCTGTGTTCGCCAGCAGGCGGCCCAGGCGCTGAGCGCTGCGGGGCAGTGGCAGGCCTCTCTGTTCGCTGCTGAGGCTGTGCAGTGTGGGTGCTGCGTTTGGCCTTTCTTTCCCTTCCCACCCCTCTCTGGACTGAAGAGGGAGCATCCGCTCAGTGTTCGAGTGCTTTGGCGAGCAGATCCTCAGTGCGGAAAAGGCTGGGGTGCAGGGAAGAGACTGCCTCCCCCAGGGCCCCACAGCCAGTTAGAAGCAGCTGAGGAGAGAGCGTGCGTGTCCCTCCCTGGGCCAGGCTGCCCGCCCAGGCCGTGACCCAAAGGGCTCCCCGGGGACCTGGAGGAAGTGGCCAGAGTCCCCTGGTATGTAGCGTGTACTGCAGGGAGCCACCATGCCCCCTCTAGTCCGTTGTGACCTTGGAGGCAGCCCCGACCCACCTGACTCCGGGCGCTGCCGTGCCCTTGCTCCTCCTCCAAGTCTCCGTCCAGATGAGCCGGGCGTGCATGGGGGGGGGGGCGGCGTGTTCCCAGGGAGGACCTGTAGCCTCTGACAGGTTCTCGAAAGCGTCCTTGACTCCAGAAAGGTTGGAGCGCGCAGCCCAGTCCGTTGTGTCACTGCCGCTTGGCCCTGTCCCTTCTGCCTGCATTTTTAGACTTTAAATGGACTGGTGTTGTTTATATGCGAGCTCGGTCCCAGACGCTATAGGAAGCCACTTTGTAAAAACCCACACAATATGCAGTGACAAGCAGGGTCTGGAGAACGTGGGCTTAGACATCGGGGCAAAGGGAAGAGGAGGGCAGGACAGGTCACGTGAAGCAAGGTGAGAGGTCAGGGCCAGGAGCTGCGCAGGGAGCACCCGCCACCATCCATCTGCTTGTAGACCCTGAGGCGTCTGGGTCGAGGCCCAGGGCAACTACTCTTGAGGTCACCTTCAGGTGACGCCCCCAGGGCCCCAGCTGCCCCCCCCCCAGCTTTTTCCACACTCCCCTCCCACCCTCCTGGTGCCCTGGGACCTGATCCCAGCTGCCTGGTCCCTGCTCCATCCTCAGTGCCCTGTGGCCACCTGCCTGACTCCTGTTCGGGTGGGGCCTGGGTTCTGTGCAGAGAGAGTGGTGTGTGCCTGCCACTTCAGCTGTGTGGCCTCAGACGTGCTGCTGAACCTTGCTGCTCCTCTGTCTTTGCCTGGAACAGGAGATGGCCGCCCCCGCACCTTGGGGTGGCAGTGAGCCTGGGGTCCGGAGGGCCTGGCTCAAGTTTTTCCTTAGTGTGAGCCCTCAGGGGCCCCCACATCAGGGCGCTCTGCGTGCCCCTCAGGGCTGTCAGCTCTCCGACAGCCTGGCCTCGGGGTCCCCAAGCGCTCAGCTGGTCCCAGGTGCTGCATGAACGTTGCAGCTGGGCTTGCCTCCCGCTGATCACCTCACCTGGCAGCCACCTGGGCGCCAGTCTGAGCCAGTCCCCGCACAGCTCCATCTCGGGGGATGGCAACAAATCAGGCTGCTGCCCCAGCCCGGCCCCATGCTCTTGCCCGAGACGGCACATGCTCTGTTCTTTGGGCTGTCAACTCGGGGAGTGGTTTCTCCGGACGAGAGGCTTAGCCCAGCATGGCCCCTCAGTAGCTGTGCGCACTTGGGCCTCCCCACACCTCTCCATGCTGCGTTCCTGGAATCTCTGAAGCGTCCTGGTGGGACTGGGGAGGATGGGAAGGGCGGGGTGGACCCTCCCTCTCAGTTCGCTGTCGTACCAGCGGTCTTCTGGCAGCCAGGTCTTCTTCCTGCAGCTCCCGACCAAGGTCACGGTGAGCCCAGGTTCCGAGGACAGGGCTTGGGGCTCCTGCAGTGGCCCGATAGTCTCACCTGAGGTTCAGTGGAGGATGGGGGCCCAGACACAGCAGGGAGTTGCCGGGGGTGCTTGAGCAGGGCTTGGGGCTTCTCACTTCCAGTGGTTCCCCGCGTCCAGTCCCGTCTTTACTGAGTGACAGTGACCGCAGCAGGTGGGTGTGTTTGATGAGCCCCGTGTTTGTTGGCTGCCGCTCACCTGTCCCTGCTGGTTCGCAGGGCTCCACGGAGGGCTCAGCCATCAAGGACTTCGTGCTGAAGCACACCTTGCCCCTGGTGGGTCACCGCAAGCCCTCCAACGAGGCCAAGCGGTACTCGCGGCGCCCTCTGGTGGTCGTGTACTACAGCGTGGACTTCAGCTTCGACTACAGAGCCGGTGAGGGGCCCTTGCGGGTTGGTGGCCAGCTGTGTTTTCTTTATGGCTTCAGGGTCATTTTCCTTCTGTGCTCCAGGCAGGCAGGGGCTTATGCCCCTCGGCACAGGCCTCTTGACTGGGTTGAGCTTTTGACCAAGGTTCCCTGCTCACGCAGGTGGCTTTTTCAGCCTGAACCTGTCAGTGAGTCTATGGGGCAGATTCTCACCCTCTGCTCCAGGGACTCACGGCCCTTGGTCCTGTTGCAGCCACTCAGTTCTGGCGGAGCAAGGTGCTGGAGGTGGCCAAGGACTTCCCCGAGTACACCTTTGCCGTGGCGGACGAGGACGACTTCACCTCGGAGGTGAAGGACCTGGGGCTCAGCGAGAGCGGCGAGGACGTCAACGCCGCCGTCCTGGACGAGGGCGGGCGCAAGTTCGCCATGGAGCCTGACGAGTTCGACTCGGACGCCCTCCGAGGGTTCGTCCAGGCCTTCAAAAGAGGTGGGCTGCGAGCCGGGGCTGCTGGGGGCGCCCCTGGGGTCCTGGCCATGGCACTCAGCGCCTCTTCCTTCAGATGGCTTGTTCGAGCCTGATTCTGGAACTTTCCCGGGGACCTCAGGGAGGGTGGAGACGGAGTGTCCCTGTCCTTCTGCTTGCCTCCTCTTTTCTCTCTTCTTTTTTTTTCTTTTTCCTTGTAATAGGAAAAAGGGCAGGTGTGTCTTGGAAATGTCAAGAAGCTTTATTTTTAAAAAATTTAAAATAGGCTTCTGGTGTCTGGGGAATTGTGTGTGTGTGGAGACCTGCTTTAAGGCATCACACGCCTGTCTCTGTCGGCCTGGGCGAGCCCCTGGTCTGGCGTCCACCATCACGGACACACCCCCAGTTCCTTGCCCCCCCACGCGGCTCTGCTGCCTGGGCACCAGCTGTCCCTGCAGTCCCCTGTGCATTCTTGTGCAGCCTCACTGCACAGGACCTGGCGGCCAGATTGGCCCAGGCTGGGACCACCTGCGCCCTCTCTGGCCTTTGCAGGGGCTGGGAAAGGAGGGTTGAGGAGACCGGAGGGGAGGGGGCGGGGGGCTGTGGGAGGCGGACCGCCAGGGTCACTCACATCCCTCCCCCGCTCGCTTCCCCGCAGGAAAACTAAAGCCAGTCATCAAATCCCAGCCGGTGCCCAAGAACAATAAGGGGCCGGTCAAGGTCGTGGTGGGGAAGACCTTTGACTCCATCGTGATGGACCCCAAGAAGGACGTCCTCATCGAGTTCTATGCGCCCTGGTGCGGGCACTGCAAGCAGCTGGAGCCCGTGTACACCGCCCTGGGCAAGAAGTACAAGGGCCACAAGAGCCTGGTCATCGCCAAGATGGACGCCACCGCCAACGACGTCACCAGCGACCGCTACAAAGTCGAGGGGTTCCCCACCATCTACTTCGCACCCAGTGGGGACAAGAAGAACCCAATTAAGTTTGAGGACGGAAACAGAGACCTGGAGCACTTGAGCAAGTTCGTGGAGGAGCACATCACAGCGCCGAGCAGGACCAGGGAAGAGCTCTAGGCTCCGAGGCCCGTGGACGGCAGGAGGGACCAGACGCCCGCCGTGGCCTCCAGCGGCCGCCGCCTGCCCTGGGCAGCGCAAGGGCTGTGTCTCCAGCTTTGTTTTTGTTTTAATTTTTTATACACTGATATTTCACCTCACACTCTGATACTGAGTAGAAATGAATGATTTGATAGATGAGCCCAGATTTTTACAGAGGACACTTTTATTTTTGTCATTACTTGGGGTTTGATTTTTTTTTTACCTTCCACTTTCTTTAATATATTTCTTCAGACCAGATAAGTTGAATCTCTTCCATGTGAATGCTTTTCCTTAATTTAAAACTCTGAAAACCTTTTTGCCGAATCACGTCTGGGCCACCCTTTGCTGGGTCCCTTTCCAGCAGTGGTGGGTCGGGGCGCTACGGTGCCTGCCTCGTCGCCCCGCACCCGCCCAGGGCGTCCGCTGCCTGCCCGACCACCGGGCCTCGGAGCCGTCTGCAGGGACGCAGCATCGGTGGGACCGGGCTTCGCTGTGCCTTCTCCACGCCTGCGGGACGAGAGAGAGGCCGCCCACCTGCGGGCGTAGCCCCACCTCTTCAGCCCGACGTGGGACGTGGGCGGAGGGGAGAGGACCGTGGGTGCCGGTGGACACTCGGGGTGGAGGATGGGGTTGGCTGTCGTGACGGAATAAAGCAAATGTTGAGAGTTAACCTCCGTGACGGTGTCTGACCCCGCCCCCCCGCCCGTGGCCTTGGTTGAGTGAAGATGGAGAGCCCCAACCTGGCGGCCTGGGGGGGGGGGCGGCGCCAGGAGGAGAGGCGGCTGTGGGCTTCCCAGGTGGGGGTGTAGCAGGTACAAAGGGACAGGCGTCAAAGGGCGAGGTGAAGGAGGGTGGCGAGGGCGGAAGCTGAGGCAGGATGAGGTCGGGCCAGAGGCGGGGGTCCTTTTGCTGCCGGGAACCTGGCCTGGTCCTGGACCTTTGTGGGGAAGTGACATTGGATTGAGATCTTACTCATGAGAGTGACAGTTACCATTTGCTGGGCACTGAGCCAAAGGCAGCCCTGTGTGAGCAGTTGTGGGTGTGTGTGTGTGTGTGTGTGTGTGTGTGTGTGTGTGTGACAGCTGAAGGTGGGGGCGTGCCCTAGGGCTGGGTCTCCTCCCTCACTTTGAAAAAGCCAAGAGGAGAAAACCTGGCCTGGTAGCAAGGGCGGCGCCCAGGGGCCGCAAGGAGATGGCTGTGTTTTCATTAGAGGGTGGGTGGGCCCCAGTGGGTCAGGAGTGGGGTCTCTAGGACCCGGGCTGATCGAAGCTGTGGGTGGGTGAGACACTGGAGGGGTTTCTGACTTAATTATGTGACTTCTCCATTCACAGAAACGAAGGGGCTAGTACAACCAACACCCTTATCACCCACCTCAGACGGTCTCCAGAGTTGTGCTACATTTTATCTGTTCACCTCCCTTTTTAATGGCACATCCAAGACATGCCTTGTCAACTGCAACTCATTGTGGAAAGGACAGGGGTTCATTGGGTCAGTGGAGTTGTGTCTTGTTCAAGTTGGAGAAGTGTTCCAATGTCGCTCTCCCTGGGGAGGTACCGGGCGTGGACACCCGGAGAGGTGTAAAGGTGAGAAATGGCCCAGAACTCCCGAGACTGGTACTGAGGAGGGGGGCGGAGTGGCTGCCAGGGGTCAGGACTTGACATCAATGGCTCATCACAACCCCAGTCAGAGCCAACTGCTGTGTGATCGAGCAAGTCGCTTCTCTCCCCTGGGGGCTTATCCTCCCCCCGTACAGTAAAGACACAGCCTGCTTCACTCGGGGCGTTTGGAAGGATTCGGCGTGATGACGCGGGCACGGGACTTAGCTTTGCTCCTGGCATGTGGTCATCCCGGTGCGGAGGAGGCCGCTGAGTCCCAGGCTTGGAGTTCCCGCTAAGGAAGGCGCAGCGGTCTGTCTCCTGAGTGGTTGGTCGTGCCGAGGTGATGCCGCGGTGCCCGGTGCACGGATCCGAGACAACCCGAAGCTCGCCTGAAAGGCCTGAAATGCTCGCTTGGAGGCCTTTGTTCTTTATGTGAGACCTCGTCTCTGTTGCCCTGCCTGTGCTGATGGGCCAGGATGGGGCCGCCGACCTGGCCTTGTGGGGACGCAAGGTGGACCTCGAATGGAGGGTGAGGGTCTGTATACATTCAGATTCCTGAACCCCGATCCTGGTCTCCTGAGTCAGATGCGGCAGGGGCAGAGCCTAGTGTCTGTTTTCAGAAGCTCCTGGATCTGGTCCCATCTCACCACTGGAATGGTGGCAGGACGGCTGTGCCGGTCGGTGTCCATGACATAGCACAGAAATGGAAGAGGGGGCAGTAACAATGGGCCTGAACAAAGGGCCAGTGAAGCAGGAACAGGGTTTCCATAGCGCCCGCGTTTCCCAAAACCGTGATGGCAGAACACTTCTGAAGGGGGTTGATAAATGCTCGATTAAAATGGACTTTTATTTGTAATTTGCCTTGGAAACTACTGAACCCCCAAAAGTGTGTACCCTGGCTGGGTGGCTGAGCTGATTGGAGCGTCACCCCATATGCCAAAGGGTTGTGGGTTCGATTTCCGTCAGGGCACCTACCCAGGTTGCAGGTTCAATCCCTGGTTGGGGCACATGGGAGGCAGCTGATGGATGTTTCTCTCTTCGATGTCTCTCCCTTCCTCTCTAAAATCAGTTTAAAAATGTCCTCAGGTGAGGTTTTAAAAAGGCAAAATCTTTTTTGAGGTGCTTAAATAGGGTTCTTTTTGAAGAAGCTCTCAGATCCTATAAGGCTTCGGCGCGCCAGGGAAGACAGGACTTTACTGGCTTCCTGGCTTCTTTGACCCCAAACCACACAGACCCACAGGGCTCCTCTGTGACCCGCCCCCTGACGCCAAGCCCTGTTAGCTCAGTGTATTTTCTGAGGGCACCCCTGCCCTTGGCCCCTTCCCCTGACCCCAAGGAAGCACCAGTGCCTGCCCTTCCCCCAAATCCCAGGCTTCCGTGTCTCCCTGTCAAGGTGGAGGGGGGGGGGGGCGACGCAGGGCCTGGAAGTGCCCCAGGGCCCAAGGACACACCTGGCCCTGGCACCCATCCCACGGCACAACGTACAAGTTGTGAGTGTGTCTTACCCCTGCGTCTGATGCTGTCAGGTGGGTCAGAGGGATTACCCCAGAGAAGGCATGATTGCTTCGATTCCTTGGCTTCTATTACAGTAAAGCGGAGGCATTGAAAATGCCTTCTGTGGGGCCTGTGTGGGGTAAAGGACCCTCCCCTCGGAGTCCGCCTTGTGACCCACAGGACAGTGGGCGTGCTGAGGGGGGGGCTGGGGGAGAGCGAAAGCCATGCGGGAGCCCCCCCGAGGTCCAAGACCACAGTAACACAACCCATGTGGACCAGCCGGTGGAGGGATGGAGCCCTCGGGTTGACCGGCTCAAGGGCCTTCCTGACTCAGGCCCCCTTGGAGCACACCTCACCCTGCCTGGAGCATAGCTCTAATTCAACATGTTCCCACCTTCGATTGTGGAGATACTGCGGTGGGGACAAGAGGACAAAGGACCACTTGTTCTAAAGACTGGGAAGGGGGCCTTTTAGAAGGTGGTGGCAGTGGCTTGGCGCGGGAATCGTGTGCGAACAGAACCCTCCCGTTGTGCAGGAGTTTCTCATGAAAAGAAAGTGGGCTCAGCTCCAGCGGGGTTGAAAGCTGATGACTCAACCTGGGATGAGAGAGGAATTGAATCCTCCCTCTCCCCACCTGCTGCCAACGTGTCCTCAGAAATCATAGATAATTGGGGGTTTGGAGGCTGGAGAAAGCTTCACCATCCAGGTTGAAAACTCCAGTGGTCAAGGAGTCAGCAGGTAAGTTAACCACATGGGGCCCGATGCAGGCAATAGGGAGGGGTGGGGAGCAGGGCACACCTGAGATTCTGCATTCTATCTGAGAGGGGAATTCTTGTCCAGGGGAATCTGGTTCTGCTGTTGCTGTTCAGATTTTCTAAGAAAATCCTGATATTGTGTGAAATCCCCCAACTTTTTAAAAAATATATGTTTTATTGAGCCCTGGCTGGTGTAGCTCAGTGGATTGAGCATGGGCCTGTGAAGCAAAGGTTCGCTGGTTGGATTCCCAGTCAGGGCACATGCCTGGGTTGAAGACCAGGTCCCCAGTAGGGGACGCATGAGAGGCAACCACACATTGATGTTTCTCTCCCTCTCTTTGTTCTTCCCTTCCCCTCACTCTAAAAATAAATAAATAAAATAAAATAAATATATATATTATTGATTATGCCATTACAGTTGTCCTATTTCCCCCTTCATTCCCCTCCACCCTGCACACCCCTCCCCCACTGTTCCCCCCCTTTAGTTTATGTCCATGTGTCACAAGTTCTTTAGATTCTATATCTCCCATACTATTCTTGCCCTCCCCCCTATCTATTTTCTATCTAGCATCTACGCCACTTATTCTCTGAACCTTCTCCCCTCTTCTCCTCCTCCCACTCCCCTGTTGCTAACCCTCCATGTGATCTTCATTTCTATGGTTCTGCTCCTGATCTAGCTGTCCTTAGTTTGCTTTTTGTTTTAGGTGTGGTTCTTAATAACTGTGAGTTTGCTGTCCTTTCACTGTTCATCTTTTTCATCCTCTTTTTCTTAGATAAGTCCCTTTAACATTTCATATAATAAGGGCTTGGTGATGATGAACTCCTTGAATTTGATCTTATCTGAAAAGCACTTTATCTGCCCTTCCATTTTAAATGAAAGCTTTGCTGGATAGAGCAATCTTGGTTGTAGGTCTTTGGTTTTCATGACTTGAAATACTTCTTTCCAGCCCCTTCTTGCCTGTAAGGTCTCTTGAGAAATCAGCTGACAGTCTGATGGGAACTCCTTTGTAGGTGACTGTCCCCTTATCTCTTGCTGCTTCTAGGATTCTCTCCTTTATTTTAATCTTGGCTAATGTAATGATGATGTGCCTTGGTGTGTTTCTTCTTGGGTCCAACTTCTTTGGGACTCTCTGAGCTTCCTGGATTTCCTGGAAGTCTATTACCTTTGCCAGACTGGGGAAGTTCTCCTTTACTATTTCGTCAAATAAGTTTTCCACTCTTCCCCTTCCCCTGTTCTTCTTCCCCTTCTGGTACCCCTATAATTCGAATGTTGGAACATTTAAAGATGTCCTGGAGGTTCCTAAGCCTCTCCTCATTTTTTTGAATTCTTGGTTCTTCATCCTCTTCTGTTTGGTCATTTTTTTCTTCCTTCCGGTCCACTCCCTTGATTTGAGTCCCAGTTTCCTTTCCATCACTATTGATTTCCTGTGCATTTCCCCTCATTTCAATTAGTTTAGCCTTCATATGTTCCTCTAATTTGTGACTAAAATCAACCAGTTCTGTGAGCATCCTGATCACCAGTGTTTTGAACTGTGCATCTGATAGTTGGCTATCTCTTGGTTGCTTAGAAGTATTGGCTCTGGGGCTTTGAGCTGTTCTTGAGTCATAATGTTTTGGTCTGTTCGCACCTGTTATGTATGAGGGGCGGAGCCTTAGGTGGTCACCAGGGCTGGGCAGCCCAGTTGCAGGGTTGTGACGCTGTATTTGGGGGCGGGGTCAGAGAGGGGCAATGGCGTCTGTTCTGCGCTCTCTTGGATTGCGGTCCCCTCTTCTGCTTCCCGCAAGCAAACTGGGCCCCTCTGGTGCCAGCTCCCAGGTGTGTG